GGCTTCTTCCTAGTTTCCTCCTAGCTTCTTTCTCTAGTGCCCAGACCGCAAAACACGGCAGGTGCCTGTGCCGGGCTTCGTGCCGGCGACTGGCTTCGGTCTATAGCCTTCGCAGCGAGAAGCTCTCGCAAGAGATCCGACAAGAGGTACCTGAGCGTTTTAGGGATTCGGGGTTTCGGGCTGCGGGCTTGGGAAGCCTGAACACCAAACCCTAAACGAAGGCCTCTTGAAAGAAAGAAACCTCAGGTTCGGCTGCTGCTCCACAGTGAAATGTGGGATCAGGCCCTTTAGGTTACTCTAGCTTTCACGAAATACGAGCAAGAAAGGCCCAAAGAACACTGGGCAAATGATAGTAACGGCAACAACGTAATAACGGTAGCAGTACTGCAATACTACTGAGGCTAGCGAGGACGATGCTGCTGATGTTGGAAGAATCGCAGTAATCATGCGAATCACGCTTCTGATGATACCAAAAATGAACGGAATTTTGGATGTTTCGGAGGCCTCACAAGGTGGGATGAGGCTAGGTAGGACATGGTAGGATTAAGGATCCCTTATATAAGCACCGTGGCTTTCGGTTACCCCACCTTCCTTCATCCTACCCTTGGAGCCTTTTGGATCTTCGCTGTATCGCCCGGGCGCCCGCTTCGAGGCTGCTGCCTGTGGGTCTCCAAACCCACCTGGAAACCACAAGGGCGGAGAGAGATTAGTAGTATAGGGGCCTTAATGATAAGAATAGGGTTTGGGGCCCATTCTGCTATAGCTAAAACCCCAAAATAGTATAGGTAATCATTAAGGCCTCTACAGTAGTAGGGTTTCGGCTTTGGGGTTCGTAGGGCCGCAGATACCGCCTTTGTAACTAAAGTGACTTGCAAAGAGAGCGGGCTGATGAACGAACCTGCACAGCCTCTTTGCCTATCTAGCCGCGATTCATGTACAATGGGCTCTTGTAGGTTCATAATGCTTCCCCTAGGGCTCTCTAATCACAACCCGGGCCTACTACGTGCTTGGAGAGACGCACGTACACCTAGGCTTTAAGCAGAGTCGCAACTAACTTGAACCTTCAAGGTCGAAACAGAACCCGAATGCTCCCATGCCCAAAGAGTCATAGGCAGGGTAGGGTGTAGAATTTCGGGTTTAGGCCCTAAGCCCCAGAACCCCAAACCGCAAACCAGTAACCCCAATCCCTCAACAGCAAGCCCTAGCCTAAATCCTCAACCCTAAACCCTGAGACCGAAACTTCAGGGCCAAAAGCCTCCTACTGTAGGGGCCTAAATATGTACCATTGCTATCTTGCGAGCTGCTGAGTATAACTATAGTACCATGGGCCCCAATCACCAATGACCGAAAGCTCGGATATCGCAGACGTGTCTGCTGAGAGAAAGACTCGAGTAGTAGTAGTAGTAGTAGTAGTAGTAGTAGTAGTAGTAGTAGTAGTAGTAGTAGTAGTAGTAGTAGTAGTAGTAGTAGTAGTAGTAGTAGTAGTAGTAGTAGTAGTAGTAGTAGTAGTAGTATTGTACTGTATTCTGTCATTGCGTTAGCTTCTTTGACACTGCAGCGTACTACTATGCCCTACACCATAAACCTGTCTAAAGGGACCCTTAAAGGAACCCTATAAGTGGCTCCTTTAAAGGAGTCCTGCAGAAAACTACAAAAAAATCAAGGGTGCCTGAAGGAAGCTGCTGAGCGCTTCCAAGTCAGCCGCGACGGGCAAAGCGCCAGAGACCTGGAGCTCCTCTTCGCCGGGTTCGGGGTTGAGGGGCTTAGAGCTCTAGGAGCTTTAGGGCCTTGGGGTTTAGGCCCTTTAGGGATTAGGGTTTAGGGGCTTAGGGGTTTTAGGGCTACTCCTGCCAGTCTGCTGTGAGTGCTATTTCTACCCAAACTCTCTCGGAGCCGTGCTGCCTCCACTGCTCCTACGATGACGGCAGCAACAACTACCAACACCAGCGACAGCTCGAGCGACAGCAACGACAACAACGTCAACACCAACACCAACGCCAACAAAACCAGCAGCAGCAGCAGCAGCAGCAGCAGAGCAACAGACATGGACAATGCTGGATGTGTTCTTAGCGCCTGCCTCTGTGACCTCTGTTCTGAATCTCGGGCTGGAGATTTGACATAGCGATATCTTGGAACTAGGCTCGGTGTGTTTCAAAACTGGCTGTCCTGGACAAAACCAGAGGTTTAAGTGCGAACTTTGCCTTCAAGTAGGCAATTAAGTCTAGGATCTAGGGTTCAATTTGTGTTCATGGTTCAGGGGGGCGAGCCTCGGCTCGAAAACGACTGAAGACATGTCTGCTTCCGCTTCGGGAGTCCTTCTCTGGCATGCATGCATCCTCTGCAGACGTTGCGATCGAGCAGAGCTGGATCAGCCTTCGCTGGTAATGTTACTGTTGTCAAACCCGTCTTCAACAGAGAGACCACGAAAGCAACGGTAGTAGCAACAGTCGTGGCAGTACAAGTCGTCGCCGTCGTGGTGGCAGCAGTAGTAGTAATGGCTACGCGGTGGTAGCTGTAGGAGCGGTGGTGGTGGTGGTGGTGGTGGTGGTGGTGGTGGTGGTGGTGGTGGTGGTGGTGGTGGTGGTGGTGGTGGTGGTGGTGGTAACAGCAGTAGCAGTAGTAGCAGTAGTAGCAGTAGTAGTAGTAGTAGTAGTAGCAATGAATAACAATATTGATAATAATAATAATAATAATAATAATAATGATAATTGCAGCAGCAGGAGTAGTAATTAGTAGCGGTGACAGTAGTAGTGGTGGTAGCGGGTGGTACTCGTAGCCCTAGTAGCTGTGATCTATGGCTCTTGTCGCGGCTCTGGCTGCAGAAAAAGGACCGGAAGATGTGGTGTTACCAGGTGCAACAGTGGTACGGCAGGGTGCTATACCGAAGGCAGTATGGCCTCAGGTGCACATAATGCAACCTAAGAGCAGCATGTCATCCGCTCGACAGACCTCTAGGTTTATATTTATACCATATATGGGTGGTTGTCAAAATTATGGTCCCTTTTCGGGCACCCTAAATATTAGGTGCCATACTATATTAGGGACCCAAAAAGGGACCATAATTTTGACAACCACCCATATACTTAACGAATCCTTGACTTGAGCTCCAGTTTTGCATGAGTTCCACAAAATGCGAACTTTGCGTGACGCCACGACTTCAGCCCACCGACCCCTCACCCACGGGACAGCCCGAACCCTTAAAACAAGTCACATGATGAAATCTTACGCTCCATACCCTCCAAACTCGACTCATATACAGACCCGAAGCCCTAGAGGATGGACCAGCAACAACCAGGCGTCGCGAAGCATCGCCCGGGAGCATCTCAACGCATGCGGCCAGGATTTTTCGGAGGTCAAGACTCGTGACATCTTGTACTGTCAGCTCTTCGTGGGGTGTTTTGAGACTGGGAAGGGTTTGGGGCTTTCGGGTTCGGGCTTTGTGCACAGAGTAACTAAGGGAAAGGTATCCGCCGATTGGAGTTTGGAGCTTGCTTGGTTCAGTTTGCTAAAGCTTGAGCCCAAACAAGTTTTGGTCTCAAGTTAAAACCCACAAACCATCCAACCCCTCGTCGTCATCATCAGGACAGCAGCGAACTTGGGTTAGTATGGCTCGGCAGGCGTCAATGTATGGACGATGCAAAGACTGACCTCTGGAGTATGGAAAGGCATCAGCACCCACACAGACCACGCTCCAGAATCCCCTAAACCCATCTATCTGCCCCGGACAGAAATTCAAAACTAGAACCACAAACCTTACAAGCTCATATATTTAAAAATCCCGAAAAGCCCAAACCCTAAACCCCAAACCAAAAATTCCGAGAAGCCCTTGCCCTCAGCCCTGAAGCCGAAGAGCCCAACCTCTGAACCCTAAACCTAAACCCCCAGAAGCCTCAATCTTACTTTCCGACAATAGGGGACCCTAATGTAGCACCCTAAATAGTAGGATCCTTGTTATAAGGACCCCAAAATAGGGTACCCCTAATCTTTCCCCGAACCCGGCATTTTTGGTTTTGCACCTTTTGGGGCATGGCTCCTCGGCAAGATGGCAAACCCCAAACCCCGAACCCCCCGCGGCCGCGACACCTTGGATGATACGCTCTCTTGTGATATGAAACTATGCGTACCCGACTAACATATGCAGAGTGTAGGTGTAGGATTTTGGTGTTGAGGGCTGTCGGATTTTAGGGTTCCAGGGTGTCAGTCTAGATGTTAGTGCTGCAGGGTAGGAGTCCAAAGTTGGGGATCTGAGATTCTCGAAAACCTGGCCTGGGGGGGTTCTTTTCAGGGTGTTGGGGTTCCCATCCTCTTGCTTTCTCTCCGCCGGCTCTTCGGAAAATCAGCTTCGCTGATGGCAACCGGCAAGAGAGAAGTCTCTTTCGATTCATGCGATACAGGCCCTTTCACACACTGCAGGCACAACCCCCTGAGGGGTATTTGTGCTGTCCAGTGAAAAGCGGGCATTCCGACTAAAAACGGTCAACTCGACGACAACGCTCTCAAAAGGCATCTTTGGCTGCGGACCGGGTGTGCAAGGAGCAGTTTAGGCTCCAATATGACTCCGCAGCCAGGCTTTGCAAAGAGTCTTTGGCATAGTGAAACCCGAAAAACACCACAATCACCTCAAGGCAACAAGATCTCAACCTCTGAACAGCCCAGACTTACATGTTCTCATTTGTGTCTGAAACTGTTGCTGTCTGTAGTCACTGACTTTGGGATCAGGCTTACCATACCTGCCCCGTTTCATCAGTCTGGCTAACAATGAGCTACCATCAGCTCTTTCTCGACGACTGCCGATAGGAAATGCCGTGTTCGGTGCAAACATGTTGTGAGCATCATGTCTGCAATGTCTGGTTTTTGCACTGCGTGCCTGACGCAACGATAAGTTAATGGGGCGGGCCCGGGTGCTGCAGGTCGTTATTCTCAAACTAAGGACATGCGAACAAGGCCCCATCTAATCACGCACCCCTACAGTCACTAAGATACAGTAAGCATCTGAAGGCTCAAGACTCTTTGGAAAATGGCTCTTCGTCGCCTTCGGCGGAGAAGGAATCGCAGAGTAACCAAAGCTTCTCCTGGCAGCCGAAATAGTGGCCTACACAAGCAGCCTAGGCCCGACCAAGGTTGCCCTCAAAGAGCGTTTTATCCGATCGGTGTTCGAAGCCTACTTTGGAGCTGGTTTGAGGCTCAGGATTCAGAGCCTAGATTCAGAGCTTCGAATGCAGAACATGCTGGTCAGCACGTAGAATGTAAGATTTACTTGTCTTTTGCTGCGAATACAGAGACCCACAAGAAGCCCCAAGCCCTTAAAAGCCAAGATATGGGGTCTCAGAAAAGGCTCGTGTTGAGGTACTTGCCTGAACAAGATCTGCTGTAGGAAAGACCCCAGTTCATATAGGCTGGCCCCCGACATCCTAGCAACATCTACAGAAGAACGAGAGTGGTCTAAAGCCAACCTAAACCCGGACCCCCTGTGGCTGTGAAAGCCTGTCTATCGTGCGAGCGTCCCTGGTTTCAAGAAACACCATCAGCCTTAACCTGCGAAAGGATTTAGGGCTGGATCCATACAACGAGGACATTACGCTGCTAGCAGGCTTCAGGGTTTCAGGAAGATTCTTCCAACAGTCCGTACCGACAAGAGTTATAGCTTTTGACGAGCATCAGTGAAGTTATACACAACACGGAGGTGAAGCTGAAACCAGTGTAACAAGGTTCCGAACCATCACCAGACCAAAATCCGAAATCCAACACCGACATCCCTACACTCAAGTAACCCACACACCAAAACCCTGTTTCCTAAACCCGGAGCTCTGCAACACCTCGCCTTGACTTGGGCCAATTCGTCTTGCACGTACTCCTGGAATTTTCCTGGCCCAGTGGGAGGGGGGTTAGGAATTGAGACTGAGAGCTCAGGGTTCAGTGTGAGGGAACACTGCCAAGAAATCGTGCTCGATGCTCAGGCTGCAGGGCTCAAACTGTTCAGGCCATGCCGTCGTCACGGCGAGGGTTTCGGGTTCAAGCTTTCACTCAGGGTTGTGTTCATGCAAATGTAGGCCGGGGTTGCAACCGTGTCTTCAGTATGTGAGCTGTCATGAGTGGCATCTGTCTGTATCTGTCTAGTGTCCGAAGATATTGAAGGGAAGAAGCGCCCAGAATTGCGCCAAGACTCTATGGGCGTCAGATCTACACATGCGAGAGTCGTGCAAAAGTACCGCACCAATAAACTTGACATGGCTTATGCACCAGGAGGAACCACCAACAAACTTTGCAAGCCAGCTCTTCGGCACTTCCCGAAATCGCCTGCTATGCACACATGCAAAAGATGAGACCTCGCCGAGGCCTTCATTCCGGAACCTACCTCGAAAGAGTCTACCGAAAGTGTCCCTCGGAACCCATTGTTGACCCGAAGCCCTCGATATATTGCATCGCACTTAAGATGCAACATACGGTATAGAACCCATAGTTTATGTCATATACTTTTCATATGACACATAATATGTAGTACCATAAGATAAGGCACATACACTGTGATACATGGTATAAGGCTGACGATGGGCAGCTTGCTGCGCGGTGGATCCGCCACAAGCGGAAGTTTCCGTCATCCTCTGCACGATTCCTAGTCCTAGACACATCGACCACGAAACAATCCAATGACAAATGGACTGAGTTGGAGCTGTTCGTTTGTTGTGGAAGCGAGGGCAAAGTCAGAGAATAAAGACACCTTAAACCAAATAAGGTCGAGGCGAGGTGGAGCACATGGAGGTGTTCAGCGTGCTTCTAACAAATCCACCCCTTAAACCCCCAACTCTAGGAAACACACCGACGCCCTAAAACAAAACTTAACCCCTAAAAAAAGCCTTGCCTTGAAACAAAACTAAACCCCTAAAACAAGCCTTGCCTTGATTGTGGATCATCCACTTCTGATCCTGGATAAGCTTCCCGACATCCATCGACCGGGCAGGTCCGCGGAATCGGAGGCAACCTCACTCAGGCCCCTCGGGTTTAGGATTTAGGATTTAGCGATGATGGTTTAGGGTTTGGGGATTCAGGTTTAGGGTTTCAGGCTTACAGTAGGGAGTTGGGATTTGGGGCCTGGGATGGAAGGGAATAAAATTACGAATTATTCGCCACTGTAGCCTTTTGCTCAGGGATTGAAGTTTGGGGCTTCGGGCGGAGACACGTGCCCGAGGCTGAAACCCTGCCAGGCAAACCCTGAGCACCACAAACCTCGGTCCGTAATTCGAAACCAAAGCCCTGAAAGAGTAAACCCCGCCCCAAACTTATCCAGGTAACAGTAACCCTCCACACACTCAACAAAATCGAAAAACCTCAACCTCAGCACCGTGAAATCAAGAGGCCCTGGAAGAACTCATCGGTATCCACGGCCCCACCTCGGGGTTCGGGGTCTTGGCCGGTCTTGGCTTCGGGGACACTCTTGAAACCCAGCATATCCATTCAGTACCATACAGAACAAAGAACTTTGTGCCATGCATGAGTAGTTCCATCCGACCCTAACCCTCAACATCCTGAACCGCAAGCCAAAACCTGAAGCAAGAAGCCTCAAACTGTGCCATTCACCCCCACAAACCTAGGACCGAACCGAAAGAAGGCGCCCTGAATAGATATCTTCGGAGGTTCTGCACTTAGGAGTCTTAGGAGATAGAGGGGTGACTTTCGAATTTCGGCTATACGATCTAGGATTGAACTCCTGGGTGTAGGCCCGCAAGGGTCGAGTGCTTACACGTGGAAAAAACGACTGTACATATGCATGTACGTATCTGCCAGGACACGTTCACATACACCTATTTACGTCGGCTTACGTATATGTATGAGCATGTACATATATGCCTGTATGCATCCCATACTCGTGCATGTCCGTTTGGCTATGTATATGTTTGGATATGAATGATCATATGAATTTGTGTGTGTGCGTGTGGGTGTATGGGCATGTCTCTGCGTGTGTGTGTGTGTGTGTGTGTGTGTGTGTGTGTGTGCAGGCATGCATGCATGAAAGAAATCATGCAACTGTGAACGTACGCATGCCTGCATGTATGCATCTATGCATGTATGTATTTATGTATCTATGTATGTATGTACGTATGCAAGTGTTTCACGACATTTTGTATGTACGCATGCATGCAGACGTATATATTTCTTACTTTATATTAACAATGCATCTGCACGAACATTAAAAAAAACAACATTTACGCATAACCACGTCCAGGAATGTCTATGCACGTATATGGGTGGTAAACGCATGAATATTCATGCCTATTAACATGTACATTCGTGTTTACATGTATTCATACCAACTGTGCATATACGTATGTGAATGCATGGGTGTGCTTTGGTGCATTATATACGTGATATATGTACACCACCGTGTGAGAAAACGTACTGTGCCAACAGCCGTTGTCCTCAAAAGGGCAAATCCCATCTTGACACACAACCTACAACGATCCAGCCCACCACTGCCATCATCCAGCCTCCGTCTGCATCCAGAAGTTTGAAGAACGACCACCTCATGTCAGCGTGCCATTTCTCAGGACGGTCGCGTCGGTGTGCCAACATGAGTGCAGGATAACCCTACATTTTAAGTTGGCACAAGTTGAAGTTCTATCCGACAAGGAACTGTTGAGTTTGTGCTCGAAGGCCAAATGCTCACATTTGGATTCGACTAAACCGGAATGCTGACAGCGAAACACGACTCTGCCTGAAAGGCGGCACATTGAATAAACCTGTTGACTGGCCTCTGAAAACAAGCCCAAACGTTGATAATGTAGTCAGGGCACGCATCCCAAACATCCAGTCCAAGTGACTCAAAAAAGTTGTGCACATCAGGGTTCCTCATCTTCTCTTCGAACATTGTAACTGTCAGCGAACCAGCATGCTTCTTTCCAGCATCTTGTTCTTCTTCCACATCGATCTCATAAAACAATGCCTTCAGCTTGTCCAAGATTGCCTCTTTGCTGTCGAGCATTGTTTGCACCATTGTTGCCTGATCGTTCTGCGCACTTTCGATCGCTGTCCTGGGTTGTAGTTTAAGCGGGTTGCAAGATAATCCGGAAAACGCACCTCAACGAAACCATGTGGGAGCAAAACTAAGCCAGCTTGCAACCCAGGTTCTGACAGAAAACCGCGGTTAAGACCTGAGGTTCGTCGCTGGATCATGTAAACCGGCTAGTATGGAGCTGCAACTGTCCCACAGCTAAGCAAAGCCACATGTACCGTAAACTGCACGACCCGTAGCTTGCTTTTCATGGAGTTCGCCGAACAGGACATGCACAGAAACCAATCTGCTGAGTGCGGTCTTGGTGCATTGAGGACTGCAAAGTAGGTGAACGACACGAAAAACCTGACGTTTCAAGCTTCAAAAGTCAAGTCAGCTTAGCCTGGGAGGTGTTCGTTGTAGCAGGCGCAAAACAAAACTACACTTCAGATAACCCTTTCGAGAAACATGACAGATGCCCATGCCTACAACTTCGAACTGTTTATAACCCAAACAATTGTCAACATCCAACTTCCTGCTGAAGTGTAGAGTTATGGCAAGGTTGGTCAGATGGATGGAAGGATGGATAGATGAAGGGCCAGAAATTAATTTGGGAATGTATTTTTCTTTTTGTGGTATTTTTTTTTGCGGTGTGCTTGGCCTAAAGCATAGGAGAGCAGCATGTTTTCCTGCGTTTTGCAAGGGAAAACACTATTTTCCGTACATTTTGGACGGAATCCTGTGTTTTTCCTTAGGAAAGGCACTACTTTCCTACAGATTCATTGTTCTTTCCTTCGGTTTTGCTTGGTAGTTCCTCGGGAAAACACTATATTCCAACGGATTCTGTCTCATGTTCTGAGGTTTTAGCGACCTCAAGAAACACAGCAGGATCTAGTGAAACCGTTGATTGGAGCTTTAAGCTTTCATTTGGAAGATTTCGGCATTTATGTAGGGTTAGATGCCGAGAGGCCGAAAAGCCAACAAGCCAAGGAAGCCAAAACCCGTACGAGACAAGAAGGCAGCATGCTCGAAGCCATGACAGCATAAGAAATTGAAAGGTTGAAAAAGGTGCATATTTTTTGTTGATACCGTTTTTTGTTGGTCCTTTTCTTTCTTTTTTCTATCTTCGGGGTGTGGGGGGGAACAGCCCACTTTGCTGCAGCCGAACGTAAAAGAGCATGGTATAGTACAATATAACGCCCTATACAAATGATACACTATATTATAATATGATGTAACATGATAAAAACGGTAATGAAATATAACATAAAACAAAACTTTACTTAATCTAAAAACAAACAAAAAAGTAACATAACATAACATAATAGGCCACAACAAAACATAATATAATACTACATGATGAAGTATAAATCATACTGATACCATGGAAAATGTAACACAATATAATATAACATTCTATTATAATGTAGCGGAGTGTGGTATAACATAACATAGAACAATACAACGTGCAATATATACACGTTAATACAACATCCTGAAATACAGAGTATAACATGATACGATATGGTATATTATGATATGATATGATGCGATATAATATGAGATAACTTTATCTGATAGAACAACATAAAATATAACATCATGTAGTATACTAATATACTGTCATATGACAAAATATTCTACAGTATATGAAAAGATGATATACTTTGATACGACTCGATATACTTAAAATAACATGATATAGTACAATATGACGCCCTATGACATAACATAAAACAATGACGCACCCGCTTTTGCAAACAGAATGCCTTTATGATGAGCTTTGAAAAGCTCTAAAACAGCTTTGTTTTTGATGCAAGTCTTGTTCATGACGCGATGTTCTTGAAAACAAGCCTGCGCAGCGTAAAAAGAAAGCGGGGGGGGGTGGGGGGGCGCAGCCCCCCCCCGTTTGCAAAAACAACGTCTTTATGGCGGGTTCTGAGAGTCCATATGGGTTCCGTAATTGCTGGCAAGATGATACCTGAAGCGATATAAAACGGGGACGCACCTCCCCAATTGGATTCAGAATGCTTGCATGATGAGTTTTGGAAAGCTCTGAAACAATTTTGTGCTTGGTGCAAGTCTTGTTCATGGTGTGATGTTCTTGAAAGCAAGCCTGCACGGCTTAAAGAGAAAGCCGGGGGGGTTTGGGGGGGGCGCAGTCCCCCCCATTTGCAAACACAACGTCTTTATGACGGGTTCTGAGGAGGTCCATATGGGTTCTGTCTTTGCTGGCAGGATGATGCTCGAAGCGACTTTGCTCAGTTTAAAAGAAAGTGAATATAAATATATGTTAACATGACATAACATGATGTAGTATAACATAATATAGCATAAATAAATAAATCATATAATATAAGAGAACATGACAAAATAGATTATATAAATGGAAATATATATATATATATATATATGAATAAGATGTGATATGAGCCACTCACCAGGGGTATCATCCCCTTGCTGTCTCATGTGACGCAAGGAGCCAGCCACCAAACTCTGTAGCACCCTGGACTGTGCATCGAGTCTGTGATTACGAAAGATTTTCTTCAAGTGTGGAGAAGCATGCTTAGGTTCTTCGCAAAGTTGGTCAACAGCAGCTTCAAATATTCGGAAATTGGCTTGAGCAGGAAGTTTGTGGTACCATCCGTGCTCGGCTTTGGACAGAGCAGCCGAAGCAGCCAAGGCCTGTTTCTCCTCTTTGGGCAACGGTAACCCGGAGAGCTTTCTGATGCGATTCGCCGCAGTCTGCAATCTCTCTTTTTCCTTGTACACGAGCGTCTGACCAAACCTTGAAGGTGACAGCCAAGCACACAAGGCTGATCCGTGACCCTATCCTGGTGAACACCAGCATCAAGAAACTCCCTACGGCCCTTAACCGCGTGGTAGTACTGTGCTTTTTCCAAGTTTTCCTTGAGACCCAGCAATCTAATCCAATTGTTCCATTCTGATTCAACTGCCAGAGCCTCGTTGCACGTGTCCGACGCCCAGCTGCGATCGTCCACGTATGTCCTGAGCAAGGTTCGGGGAAACTTGCTTTGGATGTCACGTGTCGGAGGGGCGAGAAGAGCGATGAGTCCGAACATCGACCAGGGGTCGCCCTGAGGTAGTGAAGCCATAACACTCTCCGGAAAATCTAAAACGCAGTTTTGATACTCAAGATACCTGCGCTGTTCTGTCCAAACAGACAGCAGCATGCCGGCAATACCGTGTGGTAGGCTAAGCCTCTGAAAAATCCAAACAGCATCATCGGGCTTGCACATGTCGAAGGCTTGGGAAAAATCAAGCGACACCAGAAATTTTCCTTTATCCACATTACGAAGGAGTGGGACCAACGCGTCATGCAAAGATCTGCCTTTGCATCCTCCACAGGCTTGTGGCGGAAGCCAAGTGCTCAACCACAGTTGGGCCTGTTCAGACTGCAGACGACTAGTGGCCCACACCCTGTACCAAACGCTAGAGATTGAGATAGGCCTGAGACTGGCTACATCCCTGGCACCATCGTCTCGTTTTTCTTAGGTTTGGGCAAATGGATTTGCCTGAAAGTTTTCCATTGAGTCGGACATTTTCCAACCCTCTCAAGGAGCAGCATGAAAGAAGCAAAAAGCGAAAATGCACGCGGCGGTATGCTGGAAATCTCATCTCCAGACCATCCGTCAGCACTTGCCGCCTTACCTTTCTGGCTCCGGGCTGCGGCAGCAACCTCATGTCCAGATAACGGCGTCCACTCCGGAAGTGCCGCATTTTCCGGGACTATGCGTGCAGTAGCGGCCTGAAAAGGACCAGAAGGTTGCAACCTACGACGCCACACCTTACGCCAGTAATCCCTGATGAGTCTTACAGAATCCTGGGTAGTGCCTGTGGCTTCTTTCACATTTAAGGCAGGTGAAAAGAGGCCTTTGCAGGGCTGGGCCGCCTGTGTATGTAGCCAACGATAACAAGCTGACTGAGAAGCCTTCATCTTATTTCTCCAATCTTTGCAGCGAGTTTCAAGTTGGCTCTTACGAAGGTCATGCAGGAGCGCAGTCGCCTGGTCAATCTTTTGCTGCGTGTCGCCGACGAGGCAACACGGAGCACGCAAGACTTTTGCATCCAGATGTCTGTATTCTGGAGAGGACGTACGCTGCATGCGTTCCAGCCGACGCATTTCAGTAAGTCTGCCCACTGCATTTCTCAATCTGCGAATCAAGAAAGCATCAACATGGCTGTTGTTTTTCCCCACCTTAGGGTACCCCTTCTGAAAACGAACATGGCCCTTGGACAAACCATAAAACCTGCCCACGTCCTCATTGTACACTTCCTGCGAAACGCTTCTGCAGGCGTAGTTGAGGGCAAGCTCGTAGCATGCCTGTGTCTGAAGCCACAGTTCGTCCACCTCTTCCTGCGAGGCGCACACCGGAAACACCGGTTTCTTCAGCTTATCCCATTTTTCTAGAAAAGCTTTTTCGAAATCATTTTTACTAACATTGCTAGGGCAGGCCTTGTTACCAGTCCCACACCATCTAGTGACCTCTTCTCTGCACTCATGCGGCAGAAGTAGGTTGCAACAGACCACACGATGATCAGAAATGGCCTCTTGGTGAAAATGCAGATCCCTTATGCATTCTTCCCTGTTGACAAGATGGAAGTCGATGGCACGGTTACCGCCCCATCTGGTAGGACATAAGTCCCCTTTGCTGTCTCTAACGGCCATGACCTTGAACCCATCCTCAAAGAAAGTGAGGCACAGATGGGCTTCGGTAGGGATGTCATTGAAATCACCTCCACCAACCCAAGTCACGTTCAGGGGTAAAAGCTGGCGAGACGCTTCCACAAAGTGGCCTAGCGGCAGCCTCATCCCGTTGGGACACTGGTAAAAGGTCGTGAGAGCAGTATCCTCCACCATTGCACATACAGCTTGCGAATCTTCTGTGCTTGTCTGCAGCACCATGTGCGATTTTAGCTTTTTGTGCACGAACAGCATCACACCGCCCCATGCTTGTTTGTTGCGCTCAACAGAAGGGGCACTGAACGTTCTGTAGTGATGTCTATCAGCGTGCAGCTCGAGCGCCAAGCGCTCTTGTTCCTTCAAGCCTATCTCTTGCATGGCCAAAATAGGTATACCGGTTTCTCTCCCAAGCTGAAAAAACTCCCAAGCACCCGTACCTCTACCTACATCCTGAAAACTGGACCAGAGGACCAGGGGTTGCACCGGAGAAAGGGACCAAGAAGACGGGACCAGGAGACCACGGGACCAGAGGACCAAGGGGACAGAAAAAAAAAAAGGTAGCAAAAAAACAAAAAAGGGAGTGAAGAAATACGCCCTCCGTTAAAAAGCCGAGAGGCCGAAAGACCAAGAAGCCTAGGAAACCAAGATGCCAGGAAGCTGTACAAGACTAGAAGGCAGTATGCTCCGAAAGCCAAGAAGCCAAGGAAACCAAGAAGCCAAGGACACCAGAAAGCCAGCAAGCCGTGCAAAACGAGAAGGCAGTATGCTCCAAGTTACGATACTAGAAGAAGTCGAGGGGGCATCGAAAAGCCAACAAGCCACGGAAACCAAGAGGCCATGCACGACAGGAAGGCAGGAGAACCGCACGCGCCCGCACACAGACCAAAAAAAAAAGTCCAAAACAAAAAATAAGAATTCACAAAAGAAATACGCCTCCATAGATAAATGGGTGGGTGTCCGGACAACACCTGCCGCGCATCCATTAGTTTCGTTGGCAAGTGCACGGTAAGACATGCATGACATGAACAGATCCAGGCTAACTTAGGCTTTGGAGTTCAGCTGTTAAGGTTTTGGAATTTGATTGATTTGGGATTTCGGGTTGGAGGGTGAGGGCATCCCAGCTTTCAAGCCAAGAAGCAGGAAACAGTAGGACCAGAATATCGAGATCCTGAGCTAGCCCACCAACCCCCAAGACCTAACTTTCCCCAAAAAGAAGGATGCCAAAAGAGAAGCTGTGCGGAAGCAAACTAAACTTTGCTTCAAACAAAAGGGGGGCTCTGTGGGACTTCGCTCCAAGGTCCTCCCCTAACTTTCCGTGCTTCCTCCACACCGTTCAGCCCGAAGCCCAACTTCCTGAGCCCCTCAGTTTAGGGTTTAAGGCTTAGGGATTCAAGGTTTAGGGCTTAGGGTTAGGGGTTGTGAAGGTATAGGGTTCCCTTAGACCCTAAACCCTAAACTCGCAGTGTCGGGAGTCGAAGAAAAGCTTGAGAGCTTCGGGCTTGTCGCTTCCAGGCCAAAGCAAGAGCTGCTTCGGGGGGTTTAGATTTTGAAGACTTAAAGGGTTTGGAGTGTTGGGTTTCGGGTAGAATTTATAGATGTTAAAGTCTTAAAGGGTTTGGGGTGTTAGGTTTCGGGTATCATGTATAGATTGTAAAGTTTTGAAGGGTTTGGGGTGTTAGGCTTCGCGTATAGTGTCCGACTCTACAACCAGACGGAGCCAGGGTTCGCTTGCAAAGGTCTGAGGACCTCCACCCAGCTGACACCGCCGGTGATGCCTGGGCTTCTGCACTCTCCACCCTACACTCTCCCAGACACCGGCTTCCTGGGGCAACACCCTAAGCCCTAAACCCTAAGCCCTATACCCTAAACCCTAAACCCTAAGCCCTATACCCTAAACCCTAAACCCTATACCCTAAACCCTATACCCAAAACCCTATACCCTAAACCCTAAACCTTAAACCCTAAACCCGAGAACTAGAGAGCTGGAGGCCCCGGGCTTAGAGGACAAGCAGCTCATGAAGAGCGTCAGCATGCTGTCCTTGGACCACAAGCAAAGACGAAAGAGGGGGCGAATGAGGGTTGGAGAAGCTAGGATTTAGAGGTGTCAGACAGATAGATGTCTGAAGGGATTGTGGCTGGGCACATGAGAGGAAACTGTGAAACAACAGGCTTTCGCCGAACGACGTTCGATCGCCCAACCGCTAAACCCCAGAAGCCCACTACAGAGGCCTTACCAACACCAGTCAGTAGGATGTAGGGTTCCAAAACAATAACACTAAGGAATACCAACTACCCAAGCCCCTCTATGACAGGGCCCAAATCAACGGAACCCGCACTCGTCTAACGAACCGAAAAAGCAGACCCTTTGATGTGTGCGAGCTGGAGCTTCAATCTTCAGGGGTTCTAACAGGTGGCCATTATAGTTCGAATAGGGTTCTATGTGCATTTTTAATACACCAGGAGCCCTGAGGCATAGTAATTACTCCTCTCCAGGCCCCCACCTCAGACAAAGAGTTCGAAGGCAAATTTCAGAGCCCAGCTGCCGGCAAGGAGGCCCAGTAAAGCTGGGTGGCTTCGAAGTCCTGTGCTTCGGAGCTTCACATTTTCTGAACCCTCGGGGTAGTGATGTGTAAGTTTTAGGGTTTTTCAGCTTACGTTGCAAATTTGTATAATCTCGACATTTTTCCGCATTCACCCCAGATCGAACCGCTTGAAGCCAGAAGCTGCTGCACCCAAAGCTCAAAGACGAAGGTTAGGCTTTGGGCTTTTGGGCTTGACTCTTCCTTCTCTGTGCTAGAATAGGGTGGACTGCAAGTCTTAGGCTTATTGATCGGGCACTTGGACGGATCCAGGGATCCTACATGCAGTGTTCGGGTCTTAAGTCAGCCAGATCCGCGGCTCTAAAAAGTAGATCCCCAGAATTTGGGAACCTATCCTACTAAGGATTACTTGAAAGGAGTTCCTTTAAGGGACCTACTTTGTCGATCCTCCCAAGGCTTCTGGGTAAAGGGGATGCATCTCCTTAGCACTCAGCTGCTCCACGAGTGCGTCGTTGTTGTAGTCGTTGACAGCATCGGCGAACATCACCGCAAAGACCTTCTTTACAATGTTCGAGGATCCTAAACCCTCTATCCTAAACTTCTCCCTGAAACCCAAAACCCCAACCCCCTTACCTCGAAAACCCTAAACCCTAAACCACTGCAATTCGTGATCTCAGGCTTCTGTGCTCGGGCTATGAGCCTTTCAGGAGCTGCCACTGAGCCGAAGCATAAGTACAAAGCTCGAGACTCAAAGAAGGGGTATGGTTGAGGGTAGACTCTGTAGATCTTCTCGTCTAGACAGGGTCATGTCACCAAGCGAGTATCCAGGCCCCTGAGCAAGAAGAGCGACAGCGAAGAACAACATAAACCATCCGGTCATCCACATGAAGCCAACAACAGGAACGACAAAGCATATCAGACAGGAGACACAAACTAGTGATAAGTAATTATGGTGCATCAAATGCTGCCGATGTCGGGTGGATCGGACTGGCAGCTCGCTCGTAAGCCCAATCCTGCTTAGTTAGGCCCGTACAGTATCGAGGCGTATAACCCCGAAGCGTCGACCACTTAGGACCAAGCATAGATCACCAGGCACAGCAGGATCAGGGCCCAAAACCTCGGTTGGACAGGAAGGTGTAGATGGTGGCGTGAGTAAGCTCTAATATATTCGGGCCTCAATAGTTAGAATAAGGTTTTGGGGCCCCTTATACTATAATAGTAGTCCCTACATAATCCCCGATAGTAGTCCCGAATATCCATTCCCCCATTCCCTACTAAGCACCAGAGGGAGGGTTTAGGACGTAGAGTTCAGGGCTTTCGGCCTTTTGGGTCATCCCACGCTCGTCTTTATAGAATCGAGAAGTTTGGGTTGGGTTTAAAGCAGGGGGAATCAATTCTGATCTCTGGAATTCGTGAGTTTGGGATTGCTGGCGTTTGGCTTCAGGGCCGCAGGGAGGGAATACTCGGAGGATCAGGGGACTTAGTAAGTAAGGTTACAAGTGCCCTAATTGGGGTTATAAGCAATTGTAAGTATAGTTACCTTATTTGTAACCTTGGTTACTAAGTCACATGATCCTTTAAGTAGGGTTTAGAGTCTAGGGTGTAGGGCTTCTGTGTCCCATGCAGGGCTTCGTTGCGGCCAAGAGGATGAGGAACTTGGGTTGAAGGCAGGGGGAATCCTTATTATAACTCTAGATAAGGGGCCCCACAACCCTATTCTAACTATTAAGGCCCCTATATCAGACTCACCTTTACTGAAAACACAGGGCTTGACATTTCGGGCTTTCACAATTTCGGGGTCGTTTAGGGTAACTTGATTGAACGTTCCGGAGTCTCTGTGGGGCGAAGAGGTGAGCCTAAGGGAATAGATCTTTGCATGCACAACCTATATAAACCCCTTGACACATGTTGAATCTAATTCTAAACCCTCAACTTATATTGAAAGTATCTCTAAGCTTCTCTTCTTGTATTCCGCAACCTGTGAACCCGGAAGGTTGCGGAGTGGCGAGCATTTTTGGGTTGACGAACTACCCCCAAAATGCTGAACATAGGCTATGGAGAAGGATGCCATCCGCAGAAGTCGTAGATAGAACTAGAGTTGTGGATAGGGAGATTGACTTCGATAATACCAAAACTACCCGAAAGTATGGCAAGAGCAACAGCTACATATGACATAGCCGCCATGCAGCAACGATTTCAAAGTTGAGAAAATCGAATCCACCAGCATGCGCAAGGCCATCACGAAGCGAAAGATCCGTACAAACTGCACGGCTCGGAGAAGGCGCGTGAGCCGGATGATTCCTCATCGCGGACAGGGGTCGGGTTGCTGTGCTTTTGGGTACAGGTTGAATCCATGTAATCATCAAGCAAGGCTCTGAAGGACTTGAGATTTCTCAATCCCTGGATGGCCTCAATGCTCTGCTGCCTTGGCTGCACGTCGCAGCTACGGTCGACTACCTGATCTCCTGCCTTTCCGTCTTCAAGTCTTCCGAGCACTTTGAAACCCAAAGCTTGCGACACCTTCAGATCACAGGGCCACGGTGCCCTTCGTAGATTGCTGTTATGATATCAACCGCGACCTCCCACAGCGAGGAGAGCACCACGAAAACGTCCAAGCATTTCCATTGCCAGTCTTCTGCACTGCAGTACTTCCACTTCTGGGCACCCACCCGAATGACAAGCTCGAAGAGGAACCTTCGACAGCCGTGGCAGTGCTTGGGACATCTAAGCGCAGTCTTCGTCAAGCTCTAATTAGGCCACGAGAGACAGAGCAGCAATGGCAGGCCTAACACTGCCAACGGTAAGGACACTGACAAGAATCCACAATATGAAATAACCAAGGTGTGCAGATTGAAGTTCCTCTGGCTTCTCACGCAAATTCTTACCAACAGCAATCCGGCAGCAAGGCTGTGTAGATGTACTGGGTCACCCTGTAGCTCACAGGTCTTGGCCCTGGGTGCGAGATGGCGTGCTGCACGTCGATTCCGATAAACACGGCATTGCTCACCTGAGCGATGGCGATGACATAAAATGATGACGCTGGAGAAAGTTAGAGCAAGTGGCAGTGCGACGATGATGATGATGATGATGGTGATGACGATGTTGATGATGATGATGATGGTGATGAAGAATGTTGATGACGATGGTGATGACGATGATGATGATGACAATGATAATGATGAGGACGATGGTGATGATGGTGATGATGGTATGACAATGGTGGTGGTGCTTGTGCTTGTGCTGGTGCTGGTGCTGGTGCCGGTGCCGGTGCCGGTGCCGGTGCCGGTGCCGGTGCCGGTGCCGGTGTGCCGGTGCCGTGGTGGTGGGGGGGTGGTGAGAGTGGGGGGGTGGGGGCGGTGGGGGTGGGGGTGGGGGTGGGGGTGGGGGTGGGGGTGGGGGTGGGGGTGGGGGTGGGGTGGGGGTGGGATGGGGGGTGGGGGTGGAGGTGGTGGGGGTTGGGGGTTGGGGTGGGGGTGGGGGGTGGGGGTGGCGGTGGCGGTGGCGGTGGCGGTGGCGGTGGCGGTGGCGGTGGTGGTGGTGGTGGTGGTGGTGAGATGAATGACGGTGGTAATAAGAATGATGACAATTCCTGTTGCAAAACCTGCACCATTGCTTATACAACTCAACTTGTGCTTGCCAGCAGCAAGTTTGCAAGTATTGTTCTTGTGGCTATGGTTGGTGCCTGTGTCTATATGACTTCCAGTTTGTTGTTACTAATTGACCTCGTCAGTTGAGTCGTTGTACTACTAGCAGTACAAGAGGTAGCAGTATCTGCAGCAACGGTCGTCGTCGTCGTCATCGTCGGAGTAGCAGGAGTTGTTGTTGTGGTGTTGTTGCTGTTGTTGTTGTTGCCGTTGCTGTTGTACAAACAAACTGTAAGTAAGTCTACTGATGATGCTGACACTACCAGCACAAGCATCAGGCTCTTTTCGCTCGCCTTTGGTGCCCTGAGACGTCCAGGCTGCGGGTCGAATCTAGGCCTCTGGGGAATTGAGGTTTTGGGTTTAGGGCCTAGGGATAAGGATTAGGGTTTGGGTGTACGTACAGTGCAAGAATTCAAGCTTAGGGTTTAGACAGGCGCAGTACCTATGGAATGAGCAGCCCCCAAAAAGCGACTGCGGGGTGGTTTGGGCCGTAGTGTTGTGGCGGCCTTGACCATTGGAGGCTGAACCACGTACATAAGTCTAAACCGCAAACAAGGGCCCAACGAGGCCTCAAAGCAAAGATCTACAAACCACACAAGCTCGCAATGAGTGGCCACCACCATTGCGAAAAAGAACTCGAAGGCACCGTGCTGTGCGATCCTCTTGATGCACGAGTCCTTCGGTCTACTGATTGAGGTCTGGATTTTGCCGTAGTTTCTGAAATCCTCATCTTTAGGGGGAGTGCCCCTGCGTAATCCAGGAATCAGGCTTTAGGGCTTTAGGCTTTGGGTTTAGTGCGACGAGATAAAACAAAAAAGATGGGCAGGTAACTTGGGAGGAACCTCAAACACAGATCCTAGCAAACAGGATAGCTTACAACAGGGGGCCGAAAGATCCCCCCCTACCTGCATGTTCAAGGCACTCCAACATGCTGCACGTCTTTGTAGCCGTGCTAGGTGTTGCTGGGGCTGCTGCAATGTAGATGGCAGCGATGCCGAAAAGCAGGGCTGTTGCTGTAGCCAGCATAAACATTAGAACCATGGACAGCAGCTTCACCCGAGGAACACTAAACTCGCTAAACCCTAGATCAGTATATGTAAACCCTAACCATTCTACCCACGTGGCCTGGAACCCTGAAACCACCGAGACGAGACGCTGCACGCAGCCTGCGAAAGCCCTAAACCCCCCTAAACCCTAAACCCCGAACCCGAAATCCTGCGTAACCCTGAGGCAGTAGACCTCCATGTCACATCCAAGCATGAGCAAAAGACAGGCTCCGTTTAGGGTTTAGGGTTTATGGTTTAGGCTTCAGGTGGCGAGTTTTCTGTTCACTTGGGGCACCTTCTTTGAGGATCCTGATGGATTTTAGAGTTTGGGGTTCAGGGTTTCGGGTTGAGGGTGTAACGCTTGGGCTCCGTGCTTTCTGAAACTCTCAGGCTTGAAGTTGGGCCAGAGTGTGCATGCCCAGTGTCCGTATGCATCTGCATCTTCTGGAAACCCATGGCGACCTGAACATGGCTCACGATGGCTCATGTATTCGGCTATCGCTGACTCAAAGTGGGTTCAGTACAACGGCGGAAATGCGTGAGCAGCAAGAAGGCCCTCTGATACAGGCAACGTGACAATTGTTCGGCCAACGATCCTCCGAAACCGTTGACCCCCAACAGTGAACACTGGAAAAAGCCCCAACCAACGATCGTTCAGACTCAACGAAAATGACGAAGGACGCGGATCGAAGTAGACGAATCGACCTGTGATGATCAATCAATAGGGAGCCTTATTCCCTATTAGGGAGCCTTATTCCCTATTAGGGCTATCAAGCCCCCCTACCCCCTCCCCCTTACCCCCCCTAAGGGTCCTTGCGAATCAGTGCGCCTGTTCCCAAATCACCAAGCCCAGGACAACGGCATTTGAGCGTAGCACTTGCGACTTTCAGGCTGGGGTCAAAAACCTCAGACCCTAAAGTTCCTGAAAGCCTGAAACTCCTGTTCTATTCTACTCTGCTATGCTATACCATGCTCTACTCTACTGTAGTATACGGTACTATGCTGTACTATTCGGTACCATACTGTACTCTACTGTACTATATCATGAAACCACAAGGCTCCCCTCGCGCAGACCTGCTGCGCCAACTGCTCGTGGTACGTCCTCGAGGCGACTTGTCGATCCAAGTCCTCCCACGTCTGCGGCTTGTTGTCATGCTAGGGTTTAGGGTTTAGGGTTTAGGGTTTAGGGTTCAGGGTTTAGGGTTTCATGTGCGACTCTCGAATGTGCAGTGATCAACAGAGGGCCCGATTCCTAGTTGCTTCATAGCGAAAACAAGCATGATGAGCATTGTCATGATCTTTGCAGTCATCCTCGTCTCGTCGTCGCTATTCCCATTGGGTTTGCCATGTGCAGCATGGCTCCGGTTGCTGCTCGGCTCCCCAGCCGTTAATCCAAGCAGCGTGGTAACTGGGAGATCTTTCATAGAACCGCAGTAGCAGTCGGCAGCAACAATAGCAAGACCCACTTTTGCGGTTACTGCTGCTAATGTGGGTGTGAACACGACTGATTGATACAAGTGCTACGAACAGCATTCTTCGCTGCAGCAAGTGCACCGAAAGTCTGACAACGTCAGTAGTAGAATGGGCCGCAATCCAAAAGGGGAACTTCCGAAAAATACCTGTGATCATTCTAGAAGTGAAGTGAGAATCGTCACACTGGACACCCTAAACCCTGAACCTTACACCCTCCTGTAGACCCCAGACGGCGACGACCAGGAGGAGATGAGCGACACTTAAACAACTTGGGTGCTTTTGGGCACCGGGGTTCGTGCACGAAAGATTACAGTGCCTCAAACACTACGACGCTCAAACCCAGAACCTTAAACACCCAAAGCCCCAACCCATAAATCGAAATCAATTGACCCTAGATCTACACTCGTGAAGCCCTGAACTCAATGCACTTTTTCGACGTCCCTCCGCAATCGGTCCTCATCTGTGTAGGTTCTCAGCATCTTGATGCCACTGTTCGCCGAGCCCACGGCAACCACAGGCCTCGTTGGAAGCTCTTCATTCGAACGTAGGAGATGGAAGAACTGTTGATGATATAAATCCTGCATTACCCATACTTGCCGTAGTCTAGGGTCCTTAAGGTAATGCAAAAATTAAATCATCAACCGGAAGAAGGTTTCATGGAGGCCCTCAAAATCCTTGACTGGTTCCGTTCCCAGGGCATGGTTGTGCTAAAGCCGCAGGTGCCATAAGATACGTGGAAGCACAACTTTTTGGGAATGATGTCGGATTGGCTTAGGGTTTGGGTTTTAGGGTTGTTTTAAATGGGGTTTAGGGTTTAGGATTAAGCGTTTTGATTTCAAGTGTTCTGGTTTCGGGCATATCCTACTTAGAGGTCTCTCCGGCCGTGAAAAGCGTCAAAGAACTACTGCAAGCCTATTGTTGGTGCTTCGCCATCCACCCTGGAAGCCAACCAGTGAAGCAAAACGGGACCATAGGGGATAACAATGTGCGAGACAAAAACTCCCTGACGGGCAGACCAGACTAGCTTAATATGAAGCCCCGCTCCCTCAAGGTGTCAACGGGACTTTGGAGTTGATGGGATTCCGAAGAGGTATTCTTCAACTACATTTTAAACAACAGAGTGGCAAGCCATGTTGCACCCTCTACCGAGTCCAACAGCCTGCGCTTTTCAGGTCTGACACCACCCTCACCAGGACCCAGGCGACTCCCCGTCCAAGTCCTCGTCGGAAGCCTCGACAGCTGTGTGCGCATCTTAGCTCCGAACTGTTCGAGCAGGACATGACATCAAACAACGGTCCCTGACGAAAGTTGAAACAAATAAGAAGGGTTTAGATTTTAAAATTCGGGGGTTTATCAAGGATGTGGAATCTTGAAGTCTAAGATGCCCTCAACCTCATTTGCCAGTGATGTTTCTACTCTCATTGCGATCATCCCCTGGCATCAAACTGTGCAGAGCATAGTGATGATGACGATGATGGGATGATGGTGATGGTGGTGGTGATGGCGGTGATGGTGGTGATGGTGGCTATGGTGGTGATGGTGGTGATGGTGGTGATGGTGGTGATGGTGGTGATGGTGGTGATGGTGGTGATGGTGATGGTGGTGATGGTGGTGATGGTGGTGATGGTGGTGATGGTGGTGATGGTGATGGTGGTGATGGTGGTGATGGTGGTGATGGCGGTGATGGTGGTGATGGTGGTGATGGTGGTGATGGTGGGGATGGTTGTGATGGTGGTGATGGTGGTGATGGTGGATGGTGGTGATGGTGGTGATGGTGGTGATGGTGGTGATGGTGGTGATGGTGGTGATGGTGGTGATGGTGATGGTGGTGATGGTGGTGATGGTGGTGATGGTGGTGATGGTGGTGATGGTGATGGTGGTGATGGTGGTGATGGTGGTGGTGGTGGTGATGGTGGTGGTGGTGATGGTGGTGATGGTGGTGATGGTGGGGATGGTTGTGATGGTGGTGATGGTGGTGATGGTGGTGATGGTGGTGATGGTGGTGATGGTGGTGATGGTGGTGATGGTGGTGATGGTGGTGATGGTGGTGATGGTGGTGATGGTGATGGTGGTACGGTGGATGATATAAATCCTGCATTACCTTAAGGACCCTAAACTATGGGAATTATGGTATATTCCTTATTATGGGTAATGCAGGATTTATATCATCAACAGTATTGGTGGGGATGGTGGTGATGGTGGTGATGGTGGTGATGGTGGTGATGGTGGTGATGGTGGTGATGGTGGTGATGGTGGTGATGGTGGTGATGGTGGTGATGGTGGTATTGGTGGGGATGGTGCTGGTGATGATGTTGATGCTGACGATGCTGATGACGGTGATGATGGTGATGACGATGGTGATGACGGTGATGATGATGATGTTGATGGTGGTGATGCTGGTGATGATGGTCATCACCATCGGTGACGATGAAAATGATGATGATGATGATGATGATGGTGGTGCTGGTGATGATGGTGGTGCCGGTGAGGGTTGCGGGAGATGTGCGACATGAGTTCGCTGCAGACTGGTGATTATGACTATGGAGCTGAAGATCATGGTAACGAGGTTGACCATGCAGATGGTGATGATGATGAAGAAGAAGAAGATGATGATGATGATGATGTTAACGATGGTGGTTGGAGGGTTTTGATGCAGATGTCTGTGCTGCTCATGATGAAGTGCTGGTAATTCGGAAACACTGGTTTAGAAGATAGCGATGTGACACCAGGGAGTGCGATGCATTGACAGTGTCGTCTGGTTAGTCTAGTCATACTGACCATGACGATAGCACGGCTTTAAGCTGCAGGTAAGAGCGATACAACGCAATGTGCTCCGTCTGCCCACTGTGATGCACCAGTCCGAAAGAAACCTACACCCGCTACTGTCCTTAAATCAACACCCTGAGCCATCTCGCCGAGGGCAATGCACCCAAAACCCTCAACCCAATAGACGGCAAAGTCCTAAACCCTGAAAGCCCACACCTACAGCAATATCATCGACACCCGACCCCAGCACCCTAAGCCCCAAAGCCGCAAGTCTGTGCCTTGGGAGATGCTCTCAACCGGGGCCGTAGATTCGAACCCGAAGGGCTCCTTCAGGGTTCTATGGTCTAGGGATGTCTAGAGTTTCGTCGAGGTTTAGGGTGTATGACAAGGGTTTTTAGGGTTTGGGGGTTTGCAAGGGGGTTTTGGATCTAGAGGCTTTAATTATTGTGTGTGCTTGTGTGTTTTTGCTTGTGTGTGTGTGTGTGTGTGTGTGTGTGTGTGTGTGTGTGTGTGTGTGTGTGTGTGTGTGTGTGTGTGTGTGTGTGTGTGTGTGTGTGTGTGTGTGTGTGTGTGTGTGTGTGTGTGTGTGTGTGTGGTGTGTGTGTGTGTGTGTGTGTGTGTGTGTGTGTGTGTGTGTGTGTGTGTGTGTGTGTGTGTGTGTGTGTGTGTGTGTGTGTGTGTGTGTGTGTGTGTGTGTGTGTGTGTGTGTGTGTGTGTGTGTGTGTGTGTGTGTGTGTGTGTGTGTGTGTGTCAGTGCCAGTGTGACTGCTGAAGGCTTCCTGGGGGCTGTGGGGTTTGGGATTTTCGGGTGTGAGCTTTAGGCACTTGGGCATTTAGGGTTCAGATCGTGCTTTCAGAAGGGACTTAGGATCTTGCAACTTCCGAGTAAGGGCGGGCGGCACGCTTCCTATTTTCACACTAAAGAGCCCCAACATGTATCCTAGTTCTTGAGCCCGTATCATGCCAATCGGAGCTCTTCGCAGGAAGCTACTACCTATCAGGGGCCTTAATAATTAGAACAGGGTTTTGGGGCCCATTATACTATAGTTATAGTAAGGAGCCGCCCAAATAGTATTGGCAATTATTAAGACCCCCATATTAACACCAGGAAGTTCAAGCAAGGGCACATGATGCCGGACCGTCGGACGGGCTTCCGAGCTTGCTCCAGGATCTCTCCTCGGTTTAGGGTTTAGGGTTTAGGGGTTAGGGGTTTAGGGGTTTAGGGTGGCTTTCACAAGATCCTGTGCGGCCCTTCATCGGCTTGGAGAGGGAGCGTGCAAAGGTTCTGGTGTTAATTGCTGCAGCATTTCGTTGGTAAGCGGCTCATGGAGCTCTGGGCTGTCGGGCTTAAAGCTTATGGAACCTAACGTTTCGGGTTTTGGGTTTGGCTTGGTGCACCTTTGCCGTCACAGCCTCTGGTGATATAGGAGCCTGTAGAACTAGAGTAGGGGATCTGCGGGGTAGAATACCGTATATCGATGGCCAGGATACTTAAGGAATGGTATTCCTATTCACGCTTCTACAGCACGAGCTCCTGGAACCACGACTGACAAACGCCGCTTACGGTTCAGGCTTTGGGCCTTCAACCCCAAACCCAACGCTTTGGCCCAGTCGCTCAAGATCGTCTCCTGGCCATGCAGAAAGTGCTCGAAGCGTTCTGGGTTTATTGCATTTGTGGGGGCCCTAAGCTTTCTTGCCGAGCTGAGACTTATGGATGTAAGATTTAGGTATTTCAGATACTAGGATATCTGAATGCTTCGGGTTTAGGGTTCCCGCTGGTGTTCGTGCGGTACAAGCACAATAGACTATAGTTACTAGCATTGTAGTTGTAGGACGGTTCTTTTTGCGAGAACCGATCTCACCATAAACTTGATACTCGTTCCTGGCATAACCTCGAAACAACTTACATGATTGTTTATGCATTATCCTCAATAGCATGTTGTCATGGTGATCCGCACTGTTTTCGCCGACATGGCCATCGTTATCACACAGTGTATCATGGTCATCATCTTTATTTTCGCCATCACCAGCAGCATCTGCTTCGCGATTGCTAACAGTGCCAGACTATCACAACTGCCATCGTGACAATTAGATGCTAAAGCTTCTAAGTATTACCGAGGTTGAAATAGCGAGCTCTGGGTATTTGTGTAAAAGACCCCTAGCGTCTCATAACCGCACGGTCTATTCAGCTAGGGCTTAATGCTGTTGAGGGGGGTTAAGGCTTCAGATTGCTGATGGCCTCTGCTATAGTTTCGATTTTCAAGATCATCCACTGTGTTTAGTCAAGTCTTCGGGGGGCGAAAGATTCGGGTCTGGGGGTACAGCTGTTCAGGATGTAGTGTAGGCTGCGAGGATCATGGCCTGTGCCCGGCGCCGCAAAGCCTGGAAGTCTTACGTTGCGACGAGCGAAAATGGATGGATTCATAACACTCTCACAACCCTGCACCCTACATCCCCGAGTCTGAAGCTGACGTGTTTCTCCAGCTTAGCCTAACATCGAAAACCACCTGAATCCTGAACCCAATCCACCAGCGCTGAAAGTTGAAGGGTGGGCTTCTAATCATGTATATAGTTATCTACCAAGTTATCCATCTATCTATCTACCTATCTATCTCTCTCCAACCGTCTATGCATGCACATATGATGGGCGTACATGGGTATGCACGTATCCATGTACTCCCACAGCACCTGGTCGTCCAGGCGCCGCAAGATCTCCGAATAGTGGCCCGACAGTGTTGAGGACCAGCCATTTGTATCCTAGCAGAATGAACGGCATGATGTAAATACGACCATATCATGCTTCTGGGTTCTCCCAAACAGCGGTGAGACAACCTCCATAGAATCACAGCCGACAACAACAACGATAACCTCAACCCCAACCACAACCACAACTACTCCGGTGGCGAAGAGAAGGATAAGCCTGGCAAAACCAGTAGGAGCACAGACTGGAACACCAGGACTCATCTTGAATCCCCCACTCAGTGTCGAACAGCAGACACGGGCCTTCCCAAAACCCCCATTTAGCATCAAACGACCGCTTCTTCTAGCGAGATTGCATACGATAAGAACCATTGCAAGTCTCCACACCCCCAGTCAGCCCCAGTGTCAAGTGATGGAACTCAGCTCTAAACACCGGCAAGACTTCTGACTCCCCATCAACGGCTCCTCTTTCGAGTGCGACGCCGGTCTCGGCATAGCTCCAGCACTGTGCTGCAAGCAAAGATGAAACGCTAAACCCTAAACTATGAAACCCTAAACTCTGAAACCCTAAACCCTAAATTGCGAAACCCTAAACCCTAAACCCTAAACTGAAGTTGTTGCAAACCAAAGACTTTACAGCGCAAACCCTGAAACCCACAAGTTAAACCCTCGAACTTAAATCCTAATCAAATCCGACCCAGGCAGAATCCGCCCTGGCCCTTTGAGCCGTGAAGCTTTGAATGCGACGTGATGAATCCTGAACATGAATATAGGGGCCTTGATAAGTGGCAGAGGGTTTGGGGGCCCATTTTACCATACTAACAATATAGATATGTATTTAGGTTCCTATATTAACACCCCTAATTGATGCCGTAGCCTGAGGGTTTCTTTTAGGATTTGGGGTTTGAGGGTTTGGGTGACTTAAAAGATCATGGGACTTAGTAACTAAGGCAACAAACAAGGTAACTATGCTTCTAACATATAATTACTTATAACCCCAATTCGGGTACTTGTAACCTTACTTACTAAGTCCCCTGATCCTTGAAGCAGGCTTCCATGAGTAAGCGCAAGACCTCTAGGATCTAACACCTCCAGTCGGACAGGTCTGACAGGCTGACAAAGGCGGCCATAACAGAGTTCAACCTCTAATCCTGATCCCTTTGCTGTACAAGCAATCCAACATGTTTACGTGCCTGCACGATGTGGAAGCTTGCACTTGGTACCTAGTACACGTTTGAAGCAGCTTTCGCATTCAAACCTCAGGATCGCTTGAACCAAAGCACGGCGATCTCAGAATCTGAAACAAACCCGAGGGCAAAGCTCTGCATCTGTCTCTATGATGGAGAAGGGAACACATTGTCTTGCATGGAGCGGCTCGACTCCGGGACAAGCCCGCATAAAAAACTTGAGACATGCGCAATTTTGAGCTTTGGAGGGGAAGGTTCCAGGACCACACACAGCACCCGTTAGAAGCCGGCATCTGAGCACCTACTCTGCGAGTTACTGGGCAGACGCTCAATGCTTTGACTACTCCCTTCTCAACCCGAAAAAACACGAAACCCATGATCACAAATCTGATTCCCTAAACCCGAGATCCGTAACCCTAACCCTACCCCTACAACTCTAAACCTTTACGTTGGATGATTTTGTCGGGCTTGCCGCGCTCGCTGTGCTGGGCGACGGTGGCTCCACACACAGCGGCCTCGAGAGGGCAAGCAGCTAAGAAATGCTCATCCAATTCAGATGAGACTTCTGTTAACTTGGAGTTACAGCTTTGGAGTTATGGCTCTTAACCGGTCTCGGGTTTAGAATGGGTCACGACTGCTAGGGACACGACAACCTCGATGTCGACGAAGCAATCGACAACTGAGCGGCTACCACGACCACTACATACCACTAACACCATCACGACTACCACTACCATCGCTCCTCCCCCTCCACCCCCCTCTCCAACTCCAACTCCAACTCCCACTCCGACTCCGACTCCTACTCCTCCTCCTCCTTCTTCTTCTTCCATCGCAGCGGAATCCGACAGCCGCTAAGCGTCCCTGAACAGCAGCGATACATCGCCGGTGCTTGGTGCACACTCTTTGAATCTGTATGCCTCGGCACTAGTGCCAGCAGGCTTTGTCCTAGCCAAAAGTTCTCCGACATTTATCGGAGGGTACTGTGGAGCGAAGCTCCAAGTACAGGAGATAATAATAATGTATGACAGAAAGCCAGACAGAAGGCCCCTCTCAGCGTAGAAGATGCGACCTCACTAGGGCAAGAATGTGAAGTTGTTCGCAGGCTTGCTCAGGTGGAGCACTGAGGTGCACGGCTGATTGTCCATCACGCAGTTCCCAGCAGCTGCCCCTGTCGATATCCCGTCTGGATCGGAGTAGGGCTGTGTAAGATGCATGAGCTTCGGTAGAGGACCGAAGGATGATCGCAGTGACTTGATATACCGCTCTGAAGCGTCTACCTTTGTGTCCAAAAATCGGCATTGTAAGCGTGCTCGGGAGCACCATAGGCTGTGACTGGACAGCCTTGTCCCCATGAGCATGCCTGTCAAGCTGCACATAGAGGTAGGCAGATGCTTGGGTGAGAGCCGAGACTGACTGGTCGGCCTTCGCATGCCAGCAATCAACACAGTCCTGCACACAGCAATGGTGGGGCCGGAGAGGCATGCTGATAGGCGAATGCAACGTTCCTGCTGCCACCTGTGCCGTTGCTTCCCCCGTTCCCAATCGTGTCTCCCAGCCGCCCTTAAATGGAGCAATGTCTGTCTGAGAGGCTGGCCGTTGCCAACCCTTAAGCAGACTTGTCCAGGATCGGAGCCTGCTTATGGTAACAGGGCCCGCGGTTGCACCCGAGTAGAGCACATCACGCCACGCCTGAATCTTGGAACCGAAGCATTGAAACTCAGGCACCTCCATGAGTCCAAAGCACCACAAGTGCGTCACGACGAATGCATTTATGTAGCTGTGACATGAAGGGTCACGCAGCACAAGCCTGTGTAGGAGGCCAGCAATTTCTGCACTTCGTCCGACAGATTGCTCCGGCGCAAGCTCTCTCGTTTCACCTGCATCCCAATCAGCTGGAGTGCTGCCAGGTTCGTCATGGTTTCCAGGCATTCCCATGCCTCCATCACACCTTTGGCTCTCAATCCAATTTCGAGGAAGAAGACTGCTGTACCTTCTTTGTCCGCCGAAATCGGATGTGTTGCATTGAACCGGTGTACCACGTCCCTGGTCATTACCAGTCCTGCCAGCTTCTGGGCAAGGTTCACAACGTCTTGGTGAGGGATCGGAGTGTGATCCTCGTCCACTTGCAGAACTTGGTTGGCTGCATCCCACCGTTGATAGTACCAGTGGCCCTCGTCTGTCATCCACCCTTTGTCCTTGGCAGCCTTCTGTTGCTCGACATCCGTGCTGAGCGATTGCAGGCAGTGAACAAACGTTTGGATCAAGGTGCCCAGGATGACTGCTCGCACCGGCGCCTCCATGAATTTTGTCTTGGCCTGTTCCTTGTACTTTTCTGCTGCCTGGAAGAGAACAGGGATCGGTCCATTGGCCCCCGGCTTGAGATAAACCATCCATGCTGAGTTCTGCTTCAGCACTTGGAGCTGTGTCTCCTGGCGGATGATCAGTCTGCCCATGGCTCTGACTAGAGCCACCGTCTGCGTCGAGGGTTTCCCCTTCCCCTTGCCTTTGCCCTTCCCCTGGGGGTTGGGATGTCCATGGAAGCCTGAGCTGTCTGCTGGTCGGCCTCGCTTGCCTTGCCCTGGATTTTGCCCCGGATTCTGGCCCGTCTTGGCCGCCTTTGGTGGCCTCTCCTCTTCTGCAGTTTCTTGCTGAGACTGGTTGGGGAGCAGGGATTTGAAGCCGCCGGCACTGTTCTTGGCAAGGTTGCCAAAGACTTGTGATATGTCCAGATCCAGCTCCGTTGTCAGGTCCATGTTCCGTTGGAGGCAGTGGTTGTGCAGCAAGGTTCAGACAGAACTGCCACAGGACTGAACAGGCAGGTTTATGAAGCCTAGGATGCACTAGTGGGACTCCACAATACAGGCAGGGGGTGCCTCCTGTGGTGTACGTGTGACAAAGTGCAGTGGCTTTACTTCCGAGCCTAGTGTACAAGTCAGAGTGGCTATTCTTATAGTGAAGCTTCATCACTTTGGAGGACGCGACCCACTGTCCACACTTCATGCAATGTTGAAGATAGCGATGTCTGTGTGGGATGTGGTAGATGGCGTTTGCTCGGTGTTGAGGCTGGCTTGCATGGTGGGCTCTTCAAACAGCGGGGGCCGATCACTGGTCAAATCAGCCTGCTGGGATGCTGCACTGACCTCTGATGGGGGCTGCGGCAGAAAGGAGTGACGAACAGCACAGTAGTTGTGCTCCACATGTCGACGGAGCAGCTGCCAGGTCGAGAATTTTTTCCGACAGTGGCTGCATTGAGGGAGTCCTCCTATAGAGTCTGTGTGCTTATTGAAGGGCTCTGGCGGACGATCGAGAGAGTACTCGGGGTGCTGCTTAGCCACATGCGTGAGGAGAGTAGTGCGACTACTATATAAGAGACCACAGACTGGGCAGGGATGCGGGGTGGCTTCCGTAGGAGCAACCTGAAGCTTAGCTGATTCCTGATGGATGCTAAGGCTGTCCCTTACCCGTCGCCACCACGCACCTGTGGGCAGGCTCACTTGGTGGTCTGCACAGTCCTGGCGGCGAGTGGCTTCATTATCAAGCAGCCTCTGAAGCACTAGTCCCGGCTGGGCGAAGCCTGCCTTCACAAGCGCCTCCTGGTTGGTAGTGTGCGTAAGGTGGGCCGGCTGTCGGAGGATGGCCCTGAGCTGTTTCACCACCGCTGTTTCCAGTGTTTTGTGTCCCTCTGCAGTCAGCCCACAGGTAATCAGACCATAGGAGATGGTGGACCAAACACAAGCCCTCCACAGGTTGAGCCGTTGGCCGACAGTGAGATAGTGTCTACCTTTGAGGACGGTACCAAGTCGGCTGAAGGTGGTTTTCCCTTTGCTCAGCCTGTGGTGCAGTGTGGCATTTTCAAAAGCAGCGTAGCTGATGCGAGCACCCAGATAGGTGAACTCCGACACTAGTGGAATGCAGAGACTGCCTTGCTGTTGGGGTATACGAAGCACCGGACCATTTGGTCCCTTCCTCACAAACTTTTTCCGAATGGATGTGCTTAAGGTGCCCCTGAGCGCAAGAATGGCCTTGGATTTTGCATCGCTCACAGCCATTCCAAAGTGGTGGAGTACCTTGAAGAGGACCGAGATACAGCTCAGCAACTGCTCTAACTCATGCAGAGAGCTGAAGGTGCCTGCTGCATGATAGTCATCTGCAAAGATGGTGAGCAATTGGCACAAAGTGCGGTAGCCAATGGAAACCTCCAGTCGGCTGCTGATTGCGTGCGAAAATATGAGCCAAAGGAGGGGAGAGGCTGAACAGCCTTGTCGCACTCCACGGGTCGCCTGGAAGCTCCGGCTTTCGCCTGCATGGTGCACGGTGTAAAAGATGCTTGAATGCCAGGCCATGATGATAGAGATCAAGTCTGATGGCAGCTGCATGTCACACATTCCTTGATAGAGCAGCTCTCTGGGGACTCTATCAAATGCTTGGGACAGGTCTAATGTGATCATGAGGCTTCCGAAGAGTGATTCACTCTTCTGTCCAGCATGCTGATGGTGGAGATTTTTTGTGATGAATGCTCAGCTCCGCTCTTGTGGCAGCACAGTGGGCAAAGACTTTACGGAGAGCATCATACTGGGATCGACCACTTTGGTATGCATACTGGGGGAAGCGAGTGACTGCCTCTAGAATTTGTGGTAGATGTGGTTCAAGGAGGCAACTGAGCATCTTTTTTCCCAGTGGACACGACAATCCGATCGGTCTGTAGTCACTGGGCTGCGTGCCTGACTTGTCGGGTTTCAGGACCAGAGCCAGGTCCACATCGGACCAGCTTTGTGGCACCTTCACAGGATGGTTGTGCCAATGCTGCTGGAGCTGGTCACATGTCCAGGCAGACACCATATCTGCACACAGGCGCCAGGCTGCCCCAGGAGGGTGACTTGCTGGCACAGCTTTCCTTCGCGGGATGGCTTGCAAAGCGGCACACAGATGCCCTGCATCGATGAGCAATGGTGATTGGAGGGTCCAGGGTCCTTCTGGGGAGACGGCCTCAGTGGAAGGCTCTATCTCCATAGCCCTTTCGGCCGAAGAAGGAGCTTTGAATCTTTCACCAAAGTGTGCTTGCAAAAGGTCGGCCTCCGCTGGAGGAGTAAGCATTCGGCCCTCAGCATCTCGAAGTTGCAACCTGCGATATGCTTGCTTCGGTGCAATTCTTTTTATGATCTGATAGAGACCCCGTGAGTCGTGTCGGTATGCACAGGTTTGGGCCTCCTGCATAGCCCCAAGCAACTTGGCACGGCGTGCCTCTCGGCAGCGCTTTTGATGTTCCCTCTGCTGTCGGTCAAATGCTTTCCAAGCTCTCCAGGCATTGAACCAGCCTCTGAGCCCATCCTTTCGGACCCATTTGAAGGCTCTCCACTTCGCTCACATGGCCTGGATACCAGATTGGACCGTAGCACTCTGCCAGGGCTTCTCAGTCGGCTGTTTGGCTCGCATGGGAAAGACTTGACAACAGGCAGTGTGCAACGTGTCATGCAGGGTGTCTATTCCCTCTATGCCATTGCATTGGCTGATGTGTTGGGCCACTGCTAGCCGGACAGCCTCTATCTGCTTCATGTGAACAGGGTTCGTCGGCTGGTCAAGGGCAGCCAAGAGCGCCTCAACATTGACCCGGGGCTGGGGCTTAGGTGGTCTGCGAGTCCAGTGGGGACATCGTATTGAGATGATCGCACTCAAAGGGAAGTGGTAGGCACCACTGTGTCGCGAGGCGCCCACGTGGAATTGCCGTAGTGGACGGGCTTTTCGAGCCTGGTCCGTGGCTTCGCAGCGTCTGACTAAGATGAAATCGATTTGGGACTCAACATTCCCAAACTTGAATGTGGACGGCTGCACTCGGGGTCCCGGCTTGCTCCACGTGTTGAGTGCTACCAAATCGTAGGTTTGGAGGAGCAGTTGCAGCTCGTCCATATCCTCAGGAGGGTGGCAGGGGAGAGGGTTTGTCACCGGTCCTACATGGGGGGCTTGGGGGCTTAGCGGCGTGTTATAGTCGCCTGCTGCAATGAGTGAGTCTCTGACCGGGATGCTTGATAAGCATCGACTGAGGGCTTGCCAAACCTGAAGGCGTTGATCAAGAGTACTCGCACACTTGGTGTCATAGGTCTTTTGATACACCCCTAAGATGTGCAGATGTCTGGCGTCGCGGCCAGAGATCGGCGCTCGCACGTGCAGCAATCTGCCCTGGAGCAGATGTTCAAAGCGAAGTTGGGAGGGAGCCGCTATCCTATGGTGAACCAAGATGAGAACTCCAGCATGTTTTCTAGACTTACAACCGGAATGAGTACACGACCACGAACCAGTCGTAAACTCAAGATTTTCAGACCATTTCGTCTCAAGTATTATGGCTACCTCGTAAGGGGAGTTGGATAGAAACGTCAGTAACTCTGCATATAGCCCGGCATTGAGCCCACCTGCATTCCAGGTGAATGTTCGCACTCCACGGCTTGTAGCCTGCGGGGTCACACTGAGCGGTCGTGATATCACTGAGGTCTGTCGCATCTGCTCTGGCACCTAATGTGCCTCCAGCACACGTCCCCGGTATTGTGTACGGCCTTGTTTGAGGGCACGGAGGCATGCTCTCTTGTAGGAGCGTTTCACGTATCGGGAAACTTGTTCTCTTGGCATCGGACTGGATGTTGGGAGACCACTGTGCTTCGGTGTGGTGGTGTCAGAGAGCCTAAGTAGACTCACACCTCCAGCAAACCCAGTGGCAAGGTTTGCAACCTTCGCTTCTGATCCCACTGCTGCTGCACAACGAAGCTGCATGTAGTAGAAGATAAATCTGTGCAACCAGCAAACATGAGATCCCCGGGACTTGGGACCCGAGCGGCTAATGAGAGAAGGTGAGGCAAATGGCGAAGTGGAGCCGGATGCTCCTTCAGAGGCTTGTTTGGAATGAAGATCCTGCGTGGCGGTAGGGAAGTGTGTCACACAACTAGCAAGAGGCTGCTGCACCTGTGGAGCGGCTGGCGGGTGTCTGACCGACCTGGGCCATCTGTGCAAAGGGAAGCCTGCAATAGCATGCGGCTTAGTCGGTTGGACCAGGGGACCCGCTTCTCTGCAGGGCCCAGGGTAGCCGGCAGGGCCAAGGGTAGTCAGATGGTCGGCAGGGCCGTACCTGAAAAGGTTTGCACGTAGCTTTCGCAGGGCTATGGCAAGGGATGCCAATGCAGCAATGATGCACAAGGTGAACGCACTGTCATTGGCATGCCGCTGTGGCACTTTTTTATAGCTGCAGGGAAGAGCCGAGCCAGTCTGCATGTGTGAAAGCTGGCTGCACAGGAAGACACAAAGGGAGAGCTTCAAGACGAGCACAGCGCCCATGGCCAGCATGCCAGCATGTGTCCCTTGACACTGTTCCTCACCTGTGGCGTGTGCAACAAGGAGTGGGCCGGGGTTAGCCGTAACCAAAGGCAGGTTAGACTCAACCATGAGGACTAAGGGGCCCACGGGTTGGGAAACCAGAGGTGCCCACCTTGTGCCCGAGTCCGGAGCTGGTGAGCGTGAGCGAGATCGGGATCGCGGTCCGTCTGCTGGGGAGTCCAGTGTCTCTGAGTGCCGATCAATGCGGTTATCCTCGCGATACATGTGGAGCCTTTCCCGTGTGGCATGCAGGCATTCAGTAGCCTGCCCCAGGTCAAAGCAAGCCAATCCGTCCTCTGACTCATACAGCATCCTGCTGCATCTGGCACCGTGCCTGCTGGTTCGTTGGGAGTCAGGTGGTCATGCGGAGGTGGCAGTGCTGAGGTCGTAGAGGTCGTCACCAGTGTAGTGGAGGGAGGCCGTTCAGCAGCAGGGTCTCGATCACTGTCCGAGTCCGAGTCCGAGGTGTTCGGGTCAGTGGTATGCCCCTCCGACTCCATCTCTGGTTCGACCCCACCTTCCTCAAGGCCTCCATGGTCTCCGTGGGCATCTGGCAGATCGAAGAGAGGATTGCGGGGTCTGTACGCACCAGCATGTACTCCTCGGCCGGCGTAGCCTCCCTGAGGCTGATCAAGAGGGATCTCCAGGTGGCGACCTCGGAATACTCAGGGGCCCTCACATAGGCTGGAGATGCTGAAGGATATTGGCCGCTAAAGTGCGATGCCACCTTGGGGCTCCTTCGGCCCCACCTTGTTGGACCCTGGTTGGCCACGTTGCAGCAATGCCCATAGAGTCCACTCCAGCTGAAGCCGAGGATCCTGCACTGGGCTCGGTCCGTGTAGCTCTGAATTGGGCCATTGTCGGCGGAGCATTAACTGGCTGGGGTGGAGGTGGTCCGTATGGCGGTCCATGAAGCGGGGGTGCAGTCGGCGGGTGCGCCCGTTCTGCCGCCGTCATCGGAGAGGTGGGCACTGACCCTTGATCGCTCTCAGCATTCTCTTCTTCGGCCTCTTCGGCTGCAGTGGCATCCTCAAGGACACTGTCGTGAAGAGGATCGCGGTCCATGTCTACTGCTGTTGGGCTAAAATAGCCGGGACAAGGTTCAGGGCCTCCTACACTGCCAGCTGACCGCGCCAGCTGTGGGAAGTAAGGAAGTCTCGGAGATTTCTGAGGTTCCATGTACCTAAATGCAAACTCCTCCTCCTCCTCCTACTACTACCACTACTACTACTACTACTGCTGCTACTACTACTACTACTACTCCTACTCCTACTCCTACTCCTACTCCTACTCCTACTGCTACTGCTGCTGCTACTGCTACTGCTACTGCTACTACTACTCCTACTCCTACTCCTACTGCTACTGCTACTGCTACTGCTACTGCTACTGCTACTGCAACTACTAACGACAGCTACCACTCAAGTCTTTCCTGGACCAAGTGGCAGGTTGCCATACCACAAACAATAATACCAATACGACTCAATACGACTACAAATACTACCAGTCTTCCCCTGTAGATCAAGTGGCAGGTTGCCCCACGGCATTGAATTGCGGCGCAGCCAGTCAACCTGCGCCCGACCCCGGGCAACCCACACGGAGAGGTCCTGAGATAGTTCATGGCTTCAGGGTTCTAGGGTTCAGGGCGCAAGGCTTTTGGGCAGTCGGGTTTGAGCTTTTCTGTCTCGGGGGTCTAGTTGATTGTTAAGGCTTCAGGTTCTCGGGTTTGAGACTGTGCGGCTGCATTCCGAGTGCTGTTGGAGTGGGAAGTCGCAGTAGTTGGTGGTGATGTGATTTGTTATGTGTGTTGGTGTTTTGTTGTTTGTGCTTTGTCGTCCTGCCCCGGCTCTTTCAATGATGAGGGCTTTCCATACTGTGCTTGTCAGTATACGTCTATTGTAGCCTCGAGGTTGCATGGGGTCCTAGCTCGGGACACTTGAGGGAAAGGGTTCACAGTTGAATGCTCGTTGGGGGTTGCTGGCTGCAGGGTTTCCCTTGTCGGACGAAGGTTCATTCCGCTAGTTTGACTGCTTTTGGCTGTAGGCTTTCCATTCTACGGGGTTAGGGTCAGATGGTACGAGGACAAACCCAGGGATGTCTTCGGTACTTGGGTCACTCAGGTCGCTTGCGTCATGGAAAGTGTTTCCAGGTTCTCTGCATTGCTACATGATCCGGATCACCATCTGCACGAATATATGGCTCAACCAGCTTGTGCGGCTCACTTGCACAAAAATTGCGACAGAGCGAGCTTTGAAGGCCAGAGAGCAAGCATGCAGGAAAGATTCCGAGATGCTTTTGCGGAGGTTCTCAGCCGTGGGCTCGTTCACCGGCACAGGGTCCATCCAGATGGGCTGGAACGGCAGGTTCTCGAGAAGCCCCGGGCGGGAGGCCTTCCAGGAAAGCAAGCAGCACAAGGGAACCCGGCTTTTCTACCTATGTCTCTAGTATCACTTCACTCTACCCATCTATCCATTCATATACCTAGCTGCCTGTCCATCTATTGCTTACATATGTCACGTCATATGATAGCGCATCTAGCAGCCGAAGCCCCTAGATATCCGAGAACCATTCAAAGAGCACCCGAGGCTTCCAAGACCACCCATCAGGCCAAAACTGTGCCCCCAAAACACGCGCCATGCTGCGGCAGGCTGTTCACACCGAAAGTATTGGTAAGAACCCTATGGTGTCGCCTCACTGGTCAAAAAGGAAGATGTCCAGCTACAGTTCAAAAAGCAATACGGCAGGAACCTGCCTAGATTCTATTTCGCGCAGGGGTGTGAAGGTGTATGTCAGGGCTTTGCGTTTTGCGGCTCAGCAAAAGGCTCTAGGAGGAATCAAGGTTTCGGGATAAAGGAACTACACGTGTCACTCAGACACTCGACGATTCCTGAATGGAAACTCCTGTGTCAAGGATCCGGTGTACCATCCCGGGACTCGGGTTTCAACCTTTGGTAGCACTTCCGGATTAGCTAGAGACAAATGTCCTGGATCTGGCGTATGTAAGTGGACACGTCTGCCATCAGCTGGCAGTACTGCTGCGTCAATTCCTGAGTGGGCCACGGACCGTAGACATTAAGCTCCAACCCTTCAAGCTTAAACCCGAAGCCCCAATCTCTTGTGACTTTTCAGCCCAAGCTCCTAACAGAAAACCGGAGCCCGACTTATGCCCTGCGTTCCAAGCAAGACCTGTAGTCTGGCTACATCAGTTCCCGTCGGGGCCCTGAGGATAAGGGTTTAAGGCTCAAGGATCTACGGCTATGGGTTTAACGCTTAGGATTTTGGGCTTAAGGTCTCGGGGGCTGTCTTTGAGCTCCTGTTCCACCACATCCAGGGGTAGGGGCCCGTTTGGGGGGCAGGGTCTTCTTCCCAAGCTCCGAAGATCGGGATCCTTCACTTGTCGAAAAACACCCTGCGGCGATCACTAGAGGGCCCCTCTTGGTACTTTGCAGCCACGATGCTGCATTCCATCCGATGAGCTCCTTCTTATGCGGAGCTCTACCGTGAGCTTCGTGCTGAGGGCCCCAACCCTTAATCCCCTTGGGGTTTAGATATCTTGTTGCAAAAGCTGCAGAGATTGGCGAAGCCCAACCCAGTAATGCTCAACTTTCTACATGCGCGAATCCAGGCACTGAACAGTAGTGCTCGCGCATGCGCGGAAGAAGGCGATCGAAGAACAGCTGAAGCTCCCGCCGAACCTGAATCAAAGCTTTCCGACACATGACAAAAACACACCCTGCGCACAATATCCCCCAAACTGGATCAAGACTTTAATCCTGCGGCAAATCCCGAAATGCTAAACCATAACTGCTAAACCTCATGAAAACCCTTGAGAGAGCTCCTATGGACCCTAAACCCCAAACTCTAAACTCAAACCCCATGCCGCTAATACCCCTAAAACTTTGAAATCCCAATTATTAAGGCCCCTATATTATAAAACCCCCCTATAGATCGCTTATAGTATCCCTGAAAGGGCACCTTTAAAGGAACCCTACTCTCAGTCCTCGAGGCTCTTGGTGCCTGCCCCATGGCCTGGTCTAACAACCTCGGCACACGGCTTCGCCGGAGCCTCGCAACGCGTTTCTGCTCTCAGGTGCAGTCTTTCCAAAAGCTTCATTAACTACTGACTGCTGGGTCCCCGAGTTCTTGTTAAAGGATTTAATTCAAGTTACCACAAAAAAGGAAACCATATTGTTTACTGTAGGTCCCAATTATGGCAACTTAAATTCAATTCCTTGACAAGAACCCAGACTAACAGGGGATTAGGGGCATGTGCAGGCAATGCGCAAAAACAGTTATGCTAGACATTGCAATTCCTGTATGACAGGGTTGCGTTTGGGCTGAAGATTGGGGGATCGGGAAAGGCTTCGGGGCTTTGATTGCGGAGTTTAGGCTTCAGTACAGGTGGATATCTCTACACCCCAACACAAGCGAGCCCAATACGAGCTACTGAAGCGATGTGCCTTTCATGATATCAAGGTTCCCTCTTCAGCATTGTTTTATTGAGAACCATATGGGTAGTTGTCAAAATTGTGGTCCCTCTTTGGGTACCCTAAATATTAGGTGCCGTATTATAATAGGGACCCAAAAGGGGACCATAGTTTTGAGAACCACCCATATCAAGGATCCCTCCATATTATATTCCCAACACCACTAAAGCCCTGGTATCGAAACCCTTCTTTCTGGAGAGCTCTTTGTGGGAACTTGGCCTCAGTCGCTTTCGAAGGAGGTGACAAAGGCAGCTCTTCCTGGAGGGTTTAGGGTTTCCGGCTTAGGAGGCTTTAGGGTTTTGGGTTTAGGGGTTTGGGTTTAGGGTTTAGGGATTAGGGATCGGCTTCAGGGTTCAGGGTTCAGGAATTACGGTTTAGGGTTCAGGCTCCAGGGCTTAAGTTTTAGGGTTTAGGGAGCCGTGGAGCCCTTTCAGCCCCTCGTCTTCCCAAATTCCAAGGGAAACGCGGACCACAAGTACACGGTTTAGGGTTTAGGGTTTAGGGTTTAGGGTTTATGAGGGTGATCTGTTGGGATCCTTCGTAGATTCCTAGTCCAGGGGCCCCACTACAACATTGCTTCCGCCTTCGGTATGTTTGAGAGGCCGCCCGTGCTTTGGGGCGCCGCCTGCGGCAGGAAACATCGAAAGGCTGTGGGGCTTCAGGCCTTACTTCGAGGATCAGGGGACTTAGTAAGTAAGGTCATAAGTACCCTAATTGGGGTTATAAGTAGTTATAAGTACAGTTACCTTATTTATAACCCTAGTTAATACGTCCCATGACCCTTTAATAAGTAGGTGGCTTAGGCTTCAGGGATCCGTGTTGAAGCTTGCTGCAGGTCATGGTTCAAGGTGGAGTTGGGTGCGTTATTCAAGATCTTCTGGTGCTTTAGCGATCATCTCCACAACAGAAAGCTCACTGGAAAGTAACTTTGGAGTTCATGCCTGGGGTGCCAAGGTTCGGGTTCATGAAGGTAGCTAGGCCACGCCGCAGGACCCCAAACCCTGAATCTACGAGGTGCTTATCCCAACTCCCATTCAGGACCGACTACCCAAAGATCGCGCATGCTCGCCGGATCGGGTGATGTCAAGCTTATCCTAGACCCCGAACTCATAAGGCTTTTAAAGCTCTCCCCGCGAGCCCCTGAACCAGAGGCCTTCAAGCCCCAGACCCGGCTCTGGACTGTCCGGGTTGTACATCGGACGCATCCCTCTTCATCCTGATCCCCAAACCCCAAAGCCTGTCAGTGAGAGGCTTCGAAGTTTGGAATGTACGGCTTACTGATCTTGCTGCTTGTTGAGTTAGGGTTCGGTGATTGGGTGGTTGTCGTTCTTCATTCAGCCCCGAGACCAACTGCTCTAAGCCCTTGCCTCTGCGACCTCCTTCTCACGCAGGGCATCGCCCGAACTTTGGGGCGTCCCGGCCTCGAAGCTTTCTGACCGGGTCTGAAGATTCTTGAGGCTTCTGGGATAGCGGGTCTGGAGTCGGTACCCATCGGTCTGGCGGTTTTGTGCCTGTGCCTTGGGCCAGGGCTCGTCTGAATTGAATGTCAGCGTGCTCAACCCCCAAAAGCAACTTGCCGGAGCCTGCACCAGCAAACCCATACCCGGCTTCAAGGTCGCAAACAGATAACAGATCCGAAGCCTGCAGCATCCCAGAGCATCATCCTGTCCTTGTCTGTTGATTTATGTGCAGGCGCAAGACTGAAAGAGTCTGACTGTGAGTTTGTGACCGCTGCGAGGCTGCTGCTGCTCCTCCTCCTGCTTCTGCCACCTCACCACTACCACTTCTCCTCTGCTACTACGCAGATGACGACGATGGCGACTGCCGCTGCTGCTGCTCCTGCTGCTGCTGCTCCTGCTGCTGCTACTGCTACTGCTACTGCTACTGCTACTGCTGCTGCTGCTGCTACTACTACTACTACTACCACCACTACTGCTAAACTACTACAATACTGATTCTTTCCTCCGATGCTGCTACTGAAACTACAAAAATCTGAGGTTGCTGCTGCCACGACTGCTTTTCTACTGCCACTGCTCTACTGCTGCTACTGCTCTGCTGCTGCTACTGCTGCTGCTATGAGGAATGCGACGACGACGACAACAAGTATTTCACAGGGCAGGCTCCACAGCATAGAGCCCTTCGGCCTTAAGCAGCACTTTCTAGACCACAACGGCTAAACTGCACTGCTACTGACATCCCAAAAGCGCTGGTTCGCCTGGTCGAACTTTTGTCAACGAAGGAATACCCGCAGATGTGCCCATGCCTAGTGGTTATGTAGATGGAACGATACCAGATGCTGATATCCGCGGCGCCTGTTTCCGAAGCTTTGTCGCTTTTTTCTTTCCTGCACTTGGTCGATGTAGGGTTGCACGGTGAGGCACGTGAGGGCTTTTGGAAACTCAATATTCTCGAAACAAAACCTACTGAAAAAATCCAACCGCTGAACCCCCAATGGTAAGCTTCAACATCACTACACAATACACTAGGAACCTCTCATTTCGTCTTGATTCTATGTGCCTCGTGTCGGCCTGGGTGCTGTTTCGACATCGTTCCAGCTAGGTTTCGGAGGTTCTAGCTAAAGACTCTTGGATAAAGGACCCGAGACCATATAACTTAACACTTCAGTTCTACTTCTTTCGATTTTGGGCAATGCACTACTGCGGGCCAAGCCTCGTTGAATTCCAGGAAGGTTCAGGCAAAACTCACATTAGAGTTGTTGGTTGTTGGAAAAGTCCCGATTGACCATGCTGTCACTTCTGCTGCGACGACAGCGACACGCATCGTGCTGTCCTTGTAGAACTCACCCTGCTACGAACACACAGAGCTTCTTCAGTAGTGATCACTCCACGAAGCCTTTCTCTTGGTGAAATCAGTAATGGAAACAGCAGTCGTCGAGGTCGTGGTTACAGCCGTAGTGGCAATTGCAACTGTAGCCGTATATGTAGCCGCAGTCGTAGTCGTCGTCCTCGTCGTCGTCATGGTCGTCGTCGCAGTCGTTGTCGTGGTCGTCGTCGTTGTCGTCGTCGTCCTCCTCCTCCTCCTCGTCGTTGGCATGGTGTTCGTCGCCCTTGTCGTCGTCCTCGTTCTCGTCGCAGCCGCAGTCGCAGTCGCAGTAGCAGTCACGAACGTAATCGTCGTACTGATCTCAGTCGTAGCCGCAGTCCTAGAAGCAGCCGCCGTCACCGTCTCAGTTTTAGTAGTGCTGGGTGTGGTAGTGGTAGTCGTAGTAGTAGTAGTAGAAGAAGAAGTAGTAGTAGTAGTAGTAGTAGTAGTAGTAGTAGCGGTACTGTACCAAATGCGGGACCATCCAATCATGGCGTGTTCTGGACACTCAGAAGCGTGAAAAGCTTGTCTTTCCTTGAAAAAAGAGCAAACACATGCAAAATGACAGTCAACACTCAGTCAACACTACAGTCAACACTACCAAAACCTCGGGAAAACCAGCAAATAGCACAACACACTCGCTTTTAAGAAAAAATATAGTTTTTAGGTTCTTAATGTCCAGAACGGCAAAATGCTGGATTTTCCAGCATTTTGGCAGTGTTGACTGCAGTCTTGACTGTAGTGTTGACTGAGTGTTGGCTGAGTGTTGACTGTCATTTTGTACGTATTTGCACGTTTTGCAGAAAAAATATAGGGTTTCCGCATGTTTCCGCACTTCGATCAAACAGGGGGGACGCCACTCCTGTAGATGTTTGGGCTAGCAAGTCAAGCCATTGCCGGTCTTCGGAGCGGTATATGCGGACACCGCTCCTGTAGATTTTGGCTGGCAAGTCGTTAGCAGGGACTGTGGATGGACAAAACCCTGCATCACTTTTCAGCAGCATCATTTTATGATTCCCCGTGCCCCCTGTTTAGAATTGGCTCTGACAGGCTAGAGACCAGATTTGTTCCAATGGCCGACATCTTGCACCGCTCAGGTAGTCCCAGCTGCCAATGTTAAGAAGGGGGTGCGGGGTTTGATGCCTTACTCGTTTGAAGTATGCATGTGCAAGATTTTGTCCATCCACCGTAGTAGTAGTGGTAGCAGCAGTAGCAGCAGTAGGAGAATTAGTAGTAGTAGTAGTAGTAGTAGAAGAAGAAGAAGTAGTAGTAGTAGTAGTAGTAGTGGTAGTGGTAGTAGTAGTAGTAGTAGTAGCAGCAGCAGCAGCAGCAGGAGTAGTAGTGGTAGTAGTAGTAGTAGTAGTAGCAGCAAATACGCTCGAGAGGTCATATACTAGATGCTGCGATTATGCATGCCAAATCGGATGTCATCACTACTAAACCATAATGAACAGTACACTTGTACTCATACGTTCCGCAGATGCTGAGGGCCTACTTCATTTACTGGGGTTGAGGCCCGGTTAAGGGTGTAGAGTTCAGGGCTTGGGACTTTGAGCCCGCTGAGATTCGTGGCTTTCAAGTTTAAGGGTTGGGCTTCGAGGGTTTTGGCCTTCAAGAGATGCAGGTTTTCAACTCGCTTCAATACATTTCTAAACCAAAGCCATCGTTTGAATCCGACACCCAAAGCAAAACGGTCACCAAACTCTACGCCTTGCATGACCCTTCAGGCTGTTAATTTGTAAGGTTTCGAACGTGTGCATGCTTGAGCATGTGTGATCCCTTCGCCCTGCATTACCTGCCAGCCTTCACCCAGTAAAGCCAACATCTTGTCCAGTTTTCCGTCACTGCCCTGGTGGCCACGGCAGAGCTCCTGAGACAGCGAAACGAAGGCAAGCACTGTCACAGAGGGTCAGAATCATTAGTCATAGTGTTCCTTATGGCTCCTGTTGCGAGATATAACATAATCTACCCCAAAACCCCATCTAATTCTTCAGGCTCCTATATTGGCTTGGTGAATATTAGAACTGGTTTTGGGGGTATATTATAGTATAACTATAATTGGTCATTTAAGCTTCAACAGTACCATCTACTTTCAACATGTCCCAGCTTGCCTTGAGATAACCCTCCAGCTTCTCGATCTTCTCCTCCAAGGTTCCGAAATGTAGGATTCGGGTTTTTTGGGTGTTTAGGGCTTCGGGTTTTCGGGTTTCGGGTGTTCGGGTTTTAAGGTGTTAGGTTTAAGGCTTTATGGAAGGCAAGGCTTGGGTTCAGAGCTTAGGAATCAGGGCCACTTCGAAACCCGGCCTTCATCAACCCTATACTCGACGACCCCTCTGAACGATATTAGCATAAACAGATGTGGTTTAACCGAGCATCCCTACGATCCCTGCGCACTCATCCTCGCGCTACACCTAAAAAAACACACCAGACCCTGAACCGTAATAATATCCTAGACCACGTCCTTCTGGTCGGTCTTTCCATCCTCCTTCCGAACCAGCGCCAAGATGTGGCACTCCGAAGCGAAATGGGTATGAAAGATGCCGAAGACAGTCAAATTGATCGCATAGCGCACACCTCTTTCGGGGGCTCTGAAGGAAAGGCAGGGTCTAAGTTGCTGCAAGAAGCTCCAAGGTACCTTTCCAGGAGGCAGGAGGAGTCGAAAGTACCGTATGAATCATGCCAGGAACGCAACCATATTGGCGGACAAACAAGTGACCTCAAACGTTTGATCAACCCAACTCAGATTTCCAGCGGCCGGAGGAGAAATTGACCTGTGTGGTATGTCCAGGAAAAGTTGTCGATGCTACTGGGCTCAGGTCCTCGATTCGCGGCTCATTCGACGCCTGCTGGCTTTGCTACCTTGTGGGCCTGGAGAGTCTCAATGGGAAGCAGTGGCCCGAAAAGGAAAGATCGGGCCAAGGCATCAGAACGGCCGGTGCGAGATTTTGCCAGTTCTTGCCTGGATGTACCCGTGCCCTCGTTGACGCCACGCTCGTCTATGGCCTTGTTTCTGCAGCTTGCCTCTTTCCCTTGTTCGTTGACATGCCTGGCATTTCACCCTGAATGCTTTCTGATGCCCTTCCCCGACTTTCCATTTCACCCGAGATGTCAAGCCTGTCGGGGCAAGGGCAAGGCAGAGCAGCCAAAAAACGGGTGAGCAATTTAACATACACGATTGGCTCACGGCTGTCTCACTGAACATGCCACTGTTCGGCAGACGGTTTTAGAGGCTTAGAGGTGACGAGAACAACACTGATAAGAGAATGACAAGGACAACGATGGTGACCATCCTCCTGACATGATCCTCAGGGACTCGGCATCCTCATCCTCAGCATGAGCGCAGAGTAGCAAAACCGGCATAATAATTTTGGTGTGAGTGGTCATGGTCAATTCATCGTCATAGCAGTTGCAGATTGGCACAAATAACAGACAGCGGTAGTACGAAAGAAAGTAAGTGAGGCAATCAGTCAGTCAGTGGCAAGTAAGTAACTGTGTAAGCACATAGTAAGCAAGAAGTGTGTAAGTAAGTGCCTAAGTAAGTTAATACGCTTACGAGTACGTTTAACTCAGTGGGCAAGCCAACAAACACGTAGGGATGGAAGCAAGTGCAGTCAAGCGCGGGAGTCAATGTCTAAGATCACTGCCCCGGGCGTCGCGCCTTGGATCCGGAACACCAGGCAGAGCGGCCAAAAGATCACCCAAACAACGACTGATAGAACCAAGAACAGTGGGGAGAAGATGAGTATGATAAAGGCCAGCTTGTTGTCTTGTAGTACAGGCCCGTATACTGCGCCTGCCAGAAAATGACCAAAGATGTCGGTTGTCATGACTTGCTGAAGTGGATATAGGGCTACGATGCCCACAATAGCAGGATAACGGTATTGCTCCGGCAGGTGAAAGAAGTCTCTTTTGAACTCCGCCGTCTTACTCCTGGCATCCTTGTAGGTGTCGGAACTCGACTGCGGCTTCAGGCCTCGTCGCAGCCATGCGAAGGCCATACTCCAGGGCCGGCGCTGCTGCTCCAGCAACATGCGAGCCCTGGCTTGCACGAAGAGGATCTGTGCCCGGCCCTGGTGTGTGTCGTAGTTAGCGCTCAGGATACCAATTAAGAGGTTCATGAGAAGCACCGTGATGCCCATGCCGGTGATGAAGAAGGAGAGCTGCAGGTAGCTATAGCTCCAAAACCAATCTGCCCCCAGGTCCAGAGGACTTGGATCTTTGGGCTCCCACTCATTAGTTTCGGTGTTCAATACGTAGTTCGTGTCCTGGCCCTGGTACTCGAAGAGGTCGAAATCACCGAAAATGGCGAGGCGAACCGTGTGTGTAAGTGCAGAGTATATCGGGAGGGGGTCTTCTCCTCGGGGGTCCAGGATAACGTAGGCGTGGGTGGCGCCTCCAACACAAAGGAAAGTGACAAAGAAGAAGGCCCAGGTATCTCGCACAGCGGACAGAATCGGAAGTAGATATATTCCCAGCCATCGTTCCCCACGTAAACTGTACACGAATCGTAGCCAATACATCGAGCAGAACCATGGCATCCAGACCTTGTCCATCTTGTTCTCGCTGCAAAGCTGCATCTGACTTGCAATGGCGGCACAACCCACGACCAAGAAGAGCGCATCAGCAAAGGTCTCTAGAATTTCTGCACCCTGTGCGGAAATGCTGTCTTCCCAATCTTCGCTCTTGACTGGTGTCATGAGGAAGTTGTGGCTGACCAGGTTTTTGAAGAATGCACCAAACACATAGAAGAAGTGCACTATCCATTCAATGGCCTCCTTCGCCTGGATGAGGATCAGAAAGACGAATGGCAGCCTCGGAAGGGCTTCACTTCAAATGCTTCAAATATCAACACCTGACCTGATATCCGCCAAACCGAGACGAGGAAGTATACTCACTAAAGTTTCCCGTTTCTGCAGGGTGAGAACTCAAGGACGTCCTGAAAACAGTGTCTAGGACCACCAAGTCCAGTCACTTCTCACAAGCCTTCACCAGAAACCCCACAACACAGCACTTCTAACGCAAAACATCCTACAACCGTAAACCCTAAACCTTAAAACCCTAAAACCCTTAAGAAAACTGCCGAGGCCACGGCGGGGCGTTTCCGTCCCCACCAGTGCGGCAGGAGATGGTGACGCCACACCTGGTACATGGTTAAGGGTATAGGCTTAGGGTTTAGGCTTAGGGTTTGGGGTTTAAGGAATAGGGTCGGGATAGCATTACAAATTTAAGTTTCTATTCCTTGCCCATAAAGATGTAAAATGTTCCACAACTATGACAGAGACACAAGCAAGCGACCGCCATGCCATCCAGACAGACATCTATGGCCTGATGCGACAGGTTTAGGGCTGAGCTCGATTTAGGGTGATTACAAGTCGAACACTGCCGAAGAACTGAATACAAAACAACACAGGACAGCACCACAGAAAATATCCAAAAAAACTCGAAGAGTAAGCTTTGCTTTAGAACCAAGCAGCGGTGACTGCCCGCAACTGCAGCCATGCCGCAGCAGTGATGGCCTCCACCGTATCAGAGGCCAAGGTTTCGTCGTTTGCAGTCTCTGCCAAAGCTCTCAACACTCCTTGGCCAACCAGGAAACTACAAAGATTAATGTTCAGAGGCGTATTCCACTACTTCCAAACAAAGACCTGGAAAAAAGCGCTCGCATGAAGTTAAACGGATAAGGCTCCCGGGCGGCATGCCAAGGGTGCACGGATTGGAAGAGTTCGCAACGATACTTGCACTTTCGGCGCATAGTGCAAGTTCTGCAGCTCCAAGTCCCAATCGTTGCTGGTTCTGGTCTTATCGTCCTGGCTTTGCAGCCGTTGCACATGCAAACTTGTGGTGCATAAGGGACGTCGGTGACTGCAAGAGCACAAACCGCAGCGGCCTAGCATTTTATCCCTGCAAGCAGCAAACAAAAACAACCACAACAAGCAGCGCAACAACGACAACAGCGAACCATGACCACAACGACCATCACCACCACCATCTCCACCAACTCCAGCAACACATCGTCATCATCATCATCATCACCATCCTCACAATCATCACCATCATCACCATCATCAAAAGCAGCAGCAGCGGCTGCAGCAGCATCCTCAACATCATCACCAACATCATCATCATCATCATCAACATCATTAGCCAGAAGGAGCATCGTCACCATCAACATCGTCATCATCATCAACAACATCTGCAGCAGCAGCATCAGCACCAGGCCCATCCCCACGATCAAAACAATCTTTTCAACAACAAACTCATGCACTTCGCCATCGACATCGCAATTTTCATCATCATGTGCACCATCTTGCTCATGAGCCTCAGTGAGCTGCGGTCGGCGTCTTTGTTACCATCAATAGCATTTTCATTATCAAGGTCGTTGACGTGACCGATAATCGTCATACCAGGCGGCTGCCTTGCTGCTGCTCTTGGTGCTTTTGCGCGTCACTAGGGACACTTTCGGCTTGACCTCTTCAGGGCAGGACGCTGGCGAGGCTGAATATTGCTGAGATCAAAACTTCGGGTCTGGCCCGCTTGCCTGCTTACTATTCTCCGGGACCTGACCGAGGATGGTGCGCACGGACTCCTGCAATCTCTGCTGGCGGGTGTAGCCTTTTGCAGGCTGGACCTGCTGGGCGCAGATCAAAGCCAACCGACCCGAAGGAGCTTCAAGCTGCAGCACCGCGGTGCTTTTCTTGCTGGCCTCTTAGCTTCAACTCTAATTCAACATACCTCTTTCTTGACATGTGGGATTGAAGGGAAACCTTCTTGTTCGCTACCGATTATGTATCTTGAAGGCCTCTTGCAGCAGATTCTGCACCAGGTCCGTGTACTCCTGCCCCTCGCCGCGCAGGAGACGGTCCAGCAGGTATTCGGCTCGATGTCCTTCCGCATCTGCTTCCGCAGCCACCGACAGCACCGTGCGTCCATCTCTGGCGGCCTCTGGGTTTGCTCGTTCCATCAGCAGGAGATGTATCATATCCAGAACATAGCTGTCTTCGGCCTTGGCGCTGGCAGCTGCCAGCAGACATGTGGGTTCATGGCCCTCCCACTCCAAGAGCGCGTTTGGATCGGCTTGCTTTTGCAAAAGTGTGCTGGCCACTTCCAAGAAGTCTTTGGCTGCCGCTTCCTTGGCTGCCTCGGCTGCCTCCTTCGTTTGCAAATCTCCGCTTGGTGACCCATGAAAATTCGCGAAGCTGGCAGCCGCATGCAAAGCTGTCACGACTCTCTTCTTGCCCGGACCGGTCATGGGATCTGGAGTCGCCTGACATTCCAGAAGGTGCGAAACGAGTTCCAGATGGCCTTTTGCAGCGGCCACCACCAGCGGCGTCCATCCATACCTGTCTGTCGCAGAGGGTAAAGCCCTCTTCTCCAGCAACAGTTTCACGACAGCAAGGCTTTTGCTCTCATCGATTCGGGCTGCGACAACCAAAGCCTCGGCACTTGGATCTGCCCTCGACTCCAAGAGTCTCCGAATCTCATCCTCCTTTCCAGTGGCCACGGCGACCAGGAGCTTCTCCTTGCCGTCGGACCCGGGGCCAGGGCCCTCCAGGACATCCTTCCACTTGCCGGACTTGTCCTCAAAGCGCATGCAAGCTCTGCGTGTACGTTTGAAAGCCGTGACCCGAAAACTCCGAAGCCCTGGAGCCCAAACCCAAAACCCAACTTCCGCGGCGGATTGATGGCTATGATGAAGATCGCGACGACGAGAATGATGATGATGATGATGATGGTGGTGGTGGTGGTGATGGTGATGGTGGTGATGGTGATGGTGATGGTGATGGTGATGGTGAGGGTGCAGGTGCCGGGTGAGGGTGAGGGTGAGGGTGCAGGTGCCGGGTGAGGGTGACGGTGATGATAGATCAAAAAGTGCGGGGTGAGGTGAGGGTCACGGGAAGGGTAAAGGTGAGGGTGCTGGTGCTGGAAGTGCTACACATCATCACCACCATCGTTATGATCACGGCGTCAAACCCAACCCTAACATCATGAGCAGGACCGTCATCAGACTCTTGTTCTCCGTGTACCTGATCCTGCATTGCATTTTTGAAGTCCACTCGGCAATGGAATACAAGGACTCCCAAGAATCAATATGAAGACAGGAGAGCACGAAGGATTGGTTTCGAAGTTCAGGGTCGCGGATTGAGGTATAGGATTTGGGGCGTCAGGTGCCGGGTTTGCAGCATATGGGTTTGCGCAGGCGATCTCCGCCAGAGTGCTGACATCTTTTAGGGTTTAAGGTTCAAGTCTGCAGCAAGGTACTTTGGGGTCCGTCATCGCTTTTCACTGAAGCGGCACATTGAAGGCATTGCTGCGAAGGGCAATGGGCCAGTAAGTGTAGGAGGAATCCCGGGTTCCGAACATGAACGGCCGCATGACAAAGCAAACTTCTGCGACCTGAATGCCTCAACCCATACACTATTCTTGCCATCGAACTAGGAAATGCAGCATTCCGTGAAAGCAGACCTGCGCACTTTGTCGCATGCCATCCTCAAGCCAGGCGAGCAGTCAGCTTCATTCCTTCCAAGCAGCCCTTTGAATTACACCAGCGTAGACCCCAAACAGGATGCATCGAATCATGCAGGTTCAAGTTGGAACGTGTTGGAACCCAATCTGGCTTCACAAGCAGATGCTGCGAAAAAATGCGTAGACATATGGACTATTTTTGTGCAAAAGAAGAACGGGTATTGATGACATCCACACGAGAAGGAAGCGTTCTTTTTCGGGAAAAGAACGCCGTGACCAAAAGGCTTTGCTTGTGGTGGGCACTCATAGTTGCACCAAGTATGCTCCTTCTTGCAGGTTCAAGTTGGAACGTGTTGAAACCCTATCTGGCTTCGCAAGCAGACGCTGCGAAACAAATGTTTAAGCATATGGACTGTTTTTGTGCACAAGAAGAATGGGTAGAGATGACATCCGCACGAGAAGGAAGCGTTCTTTTTTTGGAAAAGAACGCCGTGACCAAAAAGTTTTGTTTGTGGTGGGCACTCATAGTTGCACCGAGTATGCTCCGTCTTGCAGGTTCAACTTGGAACGTGTTGGAGTGATGACATCCGCACGAGAAAGACGCGTTCTTTTTTTGGAAAAGTGAATGCCGCGACCAAAAGGTTTTGTTTGTGGGGGCCACTCATGCGGCCCAACCGTCCAACCCAGGAGCCCAGAAAGGAAACATGAAGGGAGCCCAGTGGGAGCCCAGGCCCTTTGCCGCGGCCCAGCCATCCAACCCAGAAGAAAATTTGATGGCAGCCGTCCAACCCAGGAGCCCAAAATGGAAACATGAAGGGAGCCCAATGCGAGCCCAGGCCCTTGTGCGGCCCAGCCGTCCAACCCAGGAGCCCAGAAAGGAAACATGAACGGAGTCAAAGGTCTTTTGCCGCGGCCCAGCCATCCAACCAGGAGCCAAAAAAGGAAACATGAAGGGAACCCAATGCGAGCCCAGGCCCTTGTGCGGCCCAGCCTTCCAACCCAGGAGCCCAGAAAGGAAACATGAACGGAGTCCAAAAGCCCTTTGCCGCCCTTTGCCGCGGCCCAGCCATCCAACCAGGAGCCCAAAAAGGAAACATGAAGGGAGCCCAATGCGAGCCCAGGCCCTTGTGCGGCCCAGCCGTCAAACAGGCCGCGGCCCAGCCGTCCAACCCTGGGAGCCCAGGCCCGTGGCTGCGGCCCAACCATCCAACCCAGGAGCCCAAAAAGGAAACATGAAGGGAGCCCAATAACAGCCCAGGCCCGTCGCCGCGGCCCACCCATCCAGCCACCGCGGCCCACCTTTTTTCTGAGGAAAGAACCCCAAACCGTACCTGTTTGGTGAAAAAAGGACTCCTCCCAGCAGGTTACAGCTCTTCAGTGCTGTTTTGGGGAGCACGTTGCTGAGTAATTCGTAATCTCCGGACATAGCTGAAGCCAGACCATAGGTTTCTCAGTCACCACAACAGAACAAGCACGTATGCACCTGACTTGTGACAACCCTACAACTCTAACTGCACACTGTCTGCTCCACCACTCTACCACAGATCTTGCTCAAGCGAAATCAGCATGCTGAAAGACAATGCTTTATCGGTCAGCTATCAGCTATGGCACACTCTTTCACGCAAACATGCAGATCGGAAGATCAAGTGGAGGCAACTTGCGGCAACAGTTCGCAGCCGACTGTGACCCTCTAATAGAACGGCGTTTTGCAGGCAAAGGGGGCGGAGACGGTCAGCACTATCCCAACACTCAGGTACACTGTTGAGCACAGCACAGAAGCTAAAACATACCGAAAACGCCTAGTTTTCGTGCGCACACCATGTCTTACCTCGGCCTCCGTCCCAGGGGCCCCAAAGCCCTAGATTCCGGAAATCTGTACTGCACGAAATCAGCCGTACGAAGTTCCCACCGCCCGATGGCTGAGTCCACGAACGGAGGTAACCGAGTTTGGCTGGAACGAGTGGCCATTGCTGTCCAGACGCTCTTTGCGAGCTAGAACCATGCAAACGTGCGGAAACTCACGAAGCCACAACCGACTGCAAGGTGCAGTCTCAGGTTCAATCCAGGAATTCAGCAGCATGGTACTAAATCCTTCTAACCCTCAGTTTCATGTTTGCTTCAATCAGGGCGTGAGGGCATCTTGGTTGAGGGTGGAATCGGCGGAGACGAGTTTCGCAGAGCAGCATGCTGCTCCGATCTTAATTTCTTTTGTGACGAACTCTTTCATTCTGCCACAGAGGAACCATGTCGGAGCAGCCCCCGAATCGCTCGACCTCCGACTATCAAGACAACAGTAAACAGTAAAGGCTGGCACCTCAGAAATACGCAGCACACGTATATACCTGCACACATTATGTGTACATGTATAAGCATATGCATATGTATATGCACTTGCATCTGCACCTGCATATGTATAAGTATATATGTAAATACGTACATATGTATATAAGCATCTATGTGTCTATGTATCGATGTACCGATGTACCGATGTACCGATGTATCGATGTATCTATGTATGTATGTATGTATGTATATATGTATGTATGTATGTATATATGTATGTATGTATGCATGCATGCATGCATATGTATGTATGTATGTATGTATGTACGTATGTATGTATGTATGTATGTGTGTTTGTATGTGTGTGTGTGCATGTGTGTCTGCGTGTCTGTGTGTATGTGTGTATGTGTGTATGTGTGAGTGTGTGTGTGTGTATGTGTGCATGTGTGTCTGCGTGTCTGTGTGTATGTGTGTATGTGTGTATGTGTGAGTGTATGTGTGTATGTGTGTATGTGTAGATGTATGTATGAATGTATGTGTATGTATGTGTATGTATGCGTACGTGTATGTGCATGGGTAAATGTTACTCACACGTTGCTCCGTTAATCCACGGCTCCTTGGCTGATGTGCTCACCCAGAATTACAAGCCTTGGGCTTTGGGTGAGAGGGTTGTAAAGCCGACCGAAAGGTCTGTTCGAGATGATCACATGTAAATAATTAGGACGGGGCCCTGGTTACTCAATCAAGCATCCCCCATCGTGACATCTGGGCCGTCTGGGCCGTGGAACTGTGCCAATTCTCTTGTCTCATGGGCCCCGTCCTGTCCGCCTGCATTTTACAGTCGTCCGATCTCCCCTGCAATATTCAGCAGCGGTATCCCGGCACCAGTAGTACCATTCGGCCCTCGGTTGTCGGAAGACTTCAGAAACCACACAGAATGCATTGCCCTGCAGTGCGCATTTTGTGTTGCTCGGGTTAGACCTGTCTCAATCTCGGGCTTGGACCTTGGGATCCGATGCCAAGGATCTTCCACTCTGCGCTTCACGTTCATGCATCACGCAAGCAACTAGAGCAGTTTTTGTTTGTGCACAGCTGCTCGAGATGAACGACGGGTGTGGGTCGCAAGATGTAGATTTGATCGCGACTTTGGCATACGGTGGAGGCATATGCAGAATATGCACGGGTACACACTTATGCATACGCAGGCACTTTGCTTGCCGCAATGTCGGCAAAATCTCGGTCCCCCGAGAGCTCTAAATCAGGTCCGATGTCCACTCTTTCAAATCATTGTCTGTGTGTGCGTGCGTATTGTTTGTCTGCGTCAAGTATTTTGTACCTGTTTCTGTTGTGGCTCTGTAGGTTTGCGTGTTTTTTTAGTTTGTCTGTGTGTCTAAATGTCTTTCGGCTGTATTGTGTCTCTATCTCAATGTCTGCGTATTTGAATCCGGCTGTGTCTCGGTGTCTTGTGTTCTTTGTCTCTGTGTCTCACCTCGCTCGAGAAGCAGCAGCACGAACAGGGATATGTGTGTGTGCGCGTGGGCGCATTGTGTTCGACAGCAACCGAAGAAAATTCTGTAGGGCTACTGTCAACTCTCGTCACCGCCAAGACCTAACCCAAAGCAGGCGAGCTGTGCAACAACCTGAGCCAGTGCGCAGCATGCAAGGCACTTGCAAACAGTCGGGGCTCAAGTTCAACAACGATTCATACACAAATGGTTTCTTCATAATCCAGAGGCGACGCCGTCTGACTCACGAGTTGGCTTCAAGAACAAATCCCGCAGCTCAACTTCTGAGTGTGCAGCTCGTCTTTCTCGTGGTTCCACCGCCGCTGCTGGACGCACGCGC